GACGCTTTTACGCACAGACGCTTTTACACACAGACGCTTTTACACACAGACGCTTTTACACACAGACCCTTTTACACACAGACGCTTTTACACACAACCGCTTTTACACACGGCACTTTTACACACAGACACTTTTACACACAGACGCTTTTACACACAGACGCTTTTACACACAGACGCTTTTACACACAGACGCTTTTACACACAGAGACTTTTACACACACAGACGCTTTTACACACAGAAGCTTTTACACACAGACGCATTTACACACAAACACTTTTACACAAACACTTTTACACACAGACGCTTTTACACACAGACGCTTTTACACACAGACGCTTTTTTACACACAGACGCTTTTTACACACAGACGCTTTGACACACAAACACATTTACACACAGAGGCTTTTACACACAAACACTTTTACACAAACACTTTTACACACAAACACATTTACACACAGACGCTGTTACACACAGACGCTTTAACACACAGACGCTTTTACACACAGACGCTTTTACACACAGAGACTTTTACACACAGATACGCTTTTACACACAGAAGCTTTTACACACAGAAGCTTTTACACACAGACGCTTTTACACACAGACACTTTTACACACAGACGCTTTACACACAGACGCTTTTACACACACACAGTCCGGCACAAGTAAAATCGCAATTTTTCCTCAGTTTTTGCCGATCGACCCTCATTTCGTGCGAAAGGGTTGCTCCGGGACAAGTAAAATCGCAATTTTTCTTCAGTTTTTGACGATCGACCCTCATTTCGTGCGAAAGGGTTGCTCCAGGACAAGTCAAATCGCAATTTTACCGCAGTTTTTGCCGATCGACCCTCATTTCGTGCGAAAGGGTTGCTCCGGGGCAAGTCAAATCGCAATTTTACCTCAGTTTTTGCCGATCGAACCTCGTTTCGTGCGAAAGGGTTGCGTTTCGTGCCGTCTCGTTGGCACTGCCCCTGCCCCCGCCTTCAGAAGAGAAATAGAAAAGAAGGAGAGGGCAAGAGGGGCAAGAGGGCAAGAGGGCAAGAGGAGAAGATGTGAGATGAGAAGATGTGAAGATGAGAAGATGTGAGAAGATGTGAGAAGATGTGAGAAGATGTGAGATGGAGGTGTGAGAAGATGTGAGAAGATGTGAGAAGATGTGAGAAGATGTGAGAAGATGTGAGAAGATGTGAGTGGAGGTGTGAGAAGATGTGAGTGGAGGTGTGAGAAGATGTGAGAAGATGTGAGAAGATGTGAGAAGATGTGAGTGGAGGTGTGAGAAGATGTGAGTGGAGGTGTGAGAAGATGTGGGAAGATGTGAGAAGATGTGAGAAGATGTGAGAAGATGTGAGAAGATGTGAGAAGATGTGAAGATGACAAGATGTGAGAAGATGTGAAGATGAGAAGATGTGAAGATGAGAAGATGTGAAGATGAGAAGATGTGAAGATGAGAAGATGAGAGAGAAGATGAGAAGATGAGGAGAAGAAGATGAGAAGATGTGAAGATGAGAAGATGTGAAGATGAGAAGATGAGGGATGAGGAGAAGATGTGAGGATAAGAAGATGTGAAGATGAGAAGATGTGAAGATGAGAAGATGTGAAGATGAGAAGATGATTTACAGACCCCCACTATTGGAAGAACCCTGCGCTCAGACGCTCTCGGGAAAAAAAGTATCAGATAATGACTATTGGAGGAGTACCCCCCTAATTAATAAACTATGAATTATTAATCCGGGATTGACATTACATATGTATCTACCCTCTGGTTATGACTAACATAGCCATGGTATAGATGGCCCATAGAAATAGATGGTTTACCTAGCTATAAAATGGTGATTTTCCATGGCTATGTTAAATAACCGGATGGTATATCTTTATATTATATGTATATTATATGTATATTATATGTATATTATATGTATATTATATGTATATTATATGTATATTATATGTATATATGTCATGTATGTATGTGTGTATGTGTGTTTGGTCTTCCTTCACCCATATAGTCCCGCATATATATATATATATTTATTTATTTATTTATGTACGTATATGTGGGGATATTCGATGAATAACTGGCTTAAAGGATGGTTTTGTTATATACCCAAATTTGAGAGTTGATCATTTGTAGATCACTCCATTTTTTTCCCAAATCATATATGTTTGGTACCCAGCCGCACGTGGCAGGCCAATGCTTGCTACGTGCTACGTGAAGTCTTGAGCCAGGAGGCCCCTTGTCGTGGTGATTTGACTGGTGATTTAACTGGGAAAACTATGGGCATATTATGGGAATATGACGGGATATTAATCATATAATAATTATATAGTGGTAACATGTTGTAACATGTTATAACTATATATGATTATTATACAATCATTTTCACTGTGGGATAATTAGCTAACTATAGATCTGGATAAATTACACCGACTTCATTGCGACCTCACAGGAATGATGGTTAGGATTCCAGGTAACTATCCCAAACTAGCCTTATTTTTTGATGAGTGAATTATTCTAATTTACCCAGATTCATGCATTTCAATATGGATTGTGATGAGGCGATGGAGGGGGAGGGAGAGAGAGAGAGAGAGAGAGAGGGAGAGAGAGAGAGAGAGAGAGAGTGAGAGAGAGAGAGTGAGAGATCGGTAGAGGATGAACATCCCATCCATTTAACTTGGAGCAGTGTGTGTGTGTGCCTTGCGGTGCTTTCTTGGAGTGTAGTTCGAACAAGGGACTTACTGCCAACTCAACGTTGGACATTGTACGATTTTATTGGTTTTGATGGGATCACAGTATGTGAACATGTTGGGAGATTCTATCCAACCACAACCCAGTTCTGGAAGGAATCCATGGAAGTCGTGGCGATGAGGTTGAGCAGGGATATGGACTTCCCAAAGCAGCCAACAGGGCGATATTGGAATATGTTGGCCAGTAAAATCGGTGATAAGAGTGTAACATATCATGGATATCATAGTGCCCTGAGTCGCAATCCCATTTCTCCATATTCCTCTTTTCAATCATCGGCAGCATCCCATTCGCACCGGGTCATTTGAGGCGTTTCCAGACATTGTCGGTTCCTGGGTGCAACTGCATCACTTGCAGTAGCTTGGTTTGAATGTGGGTCGAGCGAGAACAACAATGAAGGTTCATTCAGGGCTTATTAACCATCAACAGCCATGATTATAAGGGGGGAATCTGAATCTGTTGTTGGAGGGATCTCCGAGATGGGGGGAATCCGACCCTAGGATTGTGCCAACACATCCAAGCAAGACTCTCATTGATTGGTTTTCCGTTTATATAGAAATCGAGGACTTGTATTGGAAAATCTCCAGTTTGATGGCAAAAGACCATCAGCAATAAATAAAACATGGAGATAGTTGACCAATGTTCTCTCCAGATTGCTCACAATTTATGCTGTTCCTTTATGGAAAAATATGGCTTGCCCGCATCGAAATTTATATTGAAGTATTGGAATAAGATGGAACGAAATCCGTGACAATTTGGCCGCTGCATCAGTTCCCAGAGCTTTCAAAGCCGCTTCTTTTTTCAGCTGCTCAATACTCCGCGTTTCATGCGGCATGACGTGTGCAGTGGCTTTGAACTGCCGCAGATCATGAGGCACCAAGCACTCATTATGGCATAGTTGCTGTCAAAAAGCCGTGGATAGAATTTGCATCACATCCTAGGGAACAAATCTTCACTTGGCTGGGTGTGCTTGTATTTTGGATGATGGTACAAAGCCGACATAGGTAGTATAGTATACTGCCATTCCCATCTATTCCCTTGTTGGAACGGGCACAAAGGAATCCATGATTTTTAATACCTAGAAGATACCTAGAAGCCAATCATACAGCAATAGCAGGATTCTAGGAATGTCCCGCAATGCGGCTTCGTTGTTTGTCGCTGCTACTACCCTTGGTGTCTGGCCAGCGCCCGACGCGGCCAACGGTGTTTTTTCAGGAGGCCTTCGACGACTCCTGGGAATCTCGCTGGGTGCAATCGGAGCAAGGAGCGAATCTGGATGGATTAGTTTTGCCGTACTCAACACGTACATATGTGTGTATATATATATAGTGGGCATGGATTTTGCCATGTTTTATCATGTGTACTACCCACAATCTCATTGTAATATCAAAACTAAAAACGCTAAAGCTAAGACATGTTCGTGTGTGTGTGTTGTGTGTGTTGTGTGTGTTGTGTGTGTTGTGTGTGTTGTGCGTGTTGTGCGTGTTGTGCGTGTTGTGCGTGTTGTGCGTGTTGTGCGTGTTGTGCGTGTTGTGCGTGTTGTGCGTGTTGTGCGTGTTGTGCGTGTTGTGCGTGTTGTGCGTGTTGTGCGTGTGTTGTTGCGTGTTTGCGTGTTGTGCGTGTTGTGCGTGTTGAGCGTGTGTGCGTGTTGTGCGTGTTGTGGGTGTGTGTGCGGGTGTTGTGCGTTGCGTGCCGTGGCGTGCCGTGGCGTGCCGGGGCGTTGGCGATGTGCGTGCCGTGGCGTGCCGTGCCGTGCCGGCCGTGCCGTGGCGTGCCGTGCCGTGCCGTGCCGTGCCGTGCCGTGCCGTGCCGTGGCGTGGCGTGGCGTGCGGGCGGGCGGGCGGGCGGGCGGGGTGCGTCGGGTGGGTGTGGTGGGTGGGTGGGTGTGCGTGCGTGCGTTGCGTGCGTGCGTGCGTGGCGTGGTGGTGGTGGGTGGGTGGTGGGTTGGGTGGGTGTGTGTGTTTGTTTGTTTGTTTGTGTGTGTGTGTTTGTTTGTGTGTGTGTTTGTGTGTTTGTTTGTGTGTGTGTTTGTTTGTGTGTGTGTTTGTTTGTGTGTGTGTTTGTTTGTTTTTTTTCCCACACTCCTTTTTGCATCTGCTTCAAGGTTCGTGCCGGCCAGCACTGTTTTGTCAACAGTGGTTCCTCAGGGAATCTTTCTGGCATGCTGTTACTAAGCCTCTGGAAAAAGTTTCAAATGCCATATGTTATGGCTGGAGAAAATTCAAAAAGCGCTCAACTTGTCATCAGGTTTCAGGCCGTGCCATGTTCCTCAGTTTGATCCCTCTCCATCATGCGTCTCACATATTGCAAAAGGTGGATGCAGTCAGTTCGAATCAGCCAGAACATATTGGCTCGGCGGGTCATCCATTGTGGTGCCTGCCATGCTGTGACCGGGGCGGTCCAATCATCAGTCAGGAGCCATTCTGCAGGTGTAGTGGCATTGACCAAGGAAGGTCTTGTGCGCAGGGCTGAGCGATAATGGCCAGCACCATCAGTACCCAAATGTGTCATAAGGGCAGCAATCTGGTATTCAACATTGTCCCATGACAAGGTCTGGTTTGTGAAGACAGGAACCAGGCAAACTGTGTCCAGATTGATCTTGCATTCACTCAGCATTGCTTGGCCGGTGACATCATGGACATGGCGTTCCAAATGAACGCACAGGCAAGTGGGTGCCTCGAGTAGTGCAGTGTTCATGCCATCTGCCTGGCGCCACAGGGTGAACAGCTGTGTGAGGTTTTTTGTGTGCACATGCAAGGTTCATGTCAAAACGCAGGCAAATCGGCATGTATTGGTGGCCGCGATCAAAAATCACTGTCTCTCCATTTTCCTCATAACGCTGCTGCCAGCTCATATTGAAGGCAGGGCTTTCAATGAGGCTAAGCCAAACATGAACAAACTCTGCTGCGTCTTGCTGTGCAAGCATGGTGAAATCCAATAAGGGATTCAATCGTCCCCAGCAACGCAAGATGTTCTGAAACCAAAGCTCATCACCAAGGTTTGCATGTGTGTCTTGATGTGTTTGAATGAAATCAGTCAACATCTGGCGCTGCTCACCCCAGCAAATCAAATCACACGGTGTCATGGACAGGGTTGTCCATAGGAAGCAGTAAGTGGCTGCATTGGCAAAGCAATAGTTTCCAGGGTTCTGCAGGACAAGGTGCGCAAGGTTCTGCAAGAGCTCTCTGGAATCTGCAGTGTCAGCGGCATCACTCATTCCTGTTTGAGAGGCGTGGCTTTGAATTTGCCCTTCCCTTTGCCCTTGGGGGCCTTGGTCATGCCCATGGCCTGCTGGAGGCTGTGTGCCAAAGGGCTTTGGCGCTGACCATGTGGCTTCAGCGAGGTTCCCATCAGCAGCCATATGGCTGAATGCGACATGGTCTGCATCAGCTGCCATGGAGTGTCTATTCTCAGGCTCAAGGTGAGCTTCCATGGGGCCACTTCCTGACTTGTCGTCGGCAGGGCATGAAAGGAGGTCACCAGGTTGACATCCGTCAGGGCTTCCGCCATGTCCGTGCAAAGCTGCATCAGTCTGGTCAGACTCAGTGGCGGTCGTTGGCTCACCTTCAATTGCTTCGTGGATTGGTCCCATTCCAGATACGGGCACGTCTTGTCTGGCAAGAGGATCAGGCTCTTGAGGGCTGCCACTTGAATCTCTGAGCCATCCTTGGCTTCCCCGAGGGCTGTCAGACGGGTCATGAGCGTGTTGATCACCACCTGCATGAGATGTTGTCGCAACGGCATCAGTGGCTTCTTCGGCGTGGGCAGTTGGCGATTCTGAGCCCACTCTTCCGTGGCTTGAATCAGGCATTGGAGGCTGTTGTTTGGCCCCTTGTGCCCGAAGAAGAAGATAAATGTGTCTTCTGTCTTCAGTTGCTGCATGTCCTTGTCCAGGCGAAGAGCCAGCTTGGTCAGGAGCGTCAGTGCCTGAGCCACGTTGATCTTGTCGGCCTGCTGATTTGCTTGGTGCTTGCCGTGCGGTTTGTCCAACTCTCCTTTTCTTTGCCGCTTGGTTGCCGCTGGATTGGGTGTCAGGGTCAGGTGTTTGTCCAGCAGAGGTCCAATGGCCTGGAAAGCACTCAAGACCTGACTGCTCACCTCGTCTGTGTCCGGCATATCCAAGTCTGCCATGAGCGGCTTTGGCCAAAATCACAGCTGTCTGTAGAAGGCAGGAGCACTGTGCTCGGAAATGGGCATGTAAGGCTTGATCCCAATCAGGCTGTGTCAGACTTGTGTCAGAGGTCTGGGAATGATGAAACACTTGAAGGCACGCATAGCATTTGGAGTCAGTCTCCTGTTTGGCTGTGAATTTGCTAAGCAGCAGTTGTTTGAGAAAGGTCACAAAATCCTGTCCACATTGGTGCGCCTCATACATGTGAAGGACAAGGTCTGCTGGGTGCATGGTGGTGCCACAGAGCACGCAATGTTGCCTCAGCATGGTCAAGTGATCCGGTTCCGTCCAAAAATCAGCAAGAGCTCCAGCAGTGAGTGAGCGTTCCAGCAAAAATCTTTGGGATCTGGGCATACGCAAGGAAAACATTTGAACCAATTCTTCATCTGTGGGGCGATGTGGGAAAAGGATCAGGCCAGGAAGTCTCATGAACTGCATGCATAGCTGTCGGATAGGCAGACAGACATGACTGGCTCGATGTGCTCCCGTGCTCGGGTTGCACAGGCAACCTAATTGATTGTACAGCAGTTGGACCATGAGGCTAGTCAATCCCTGAGCGGTCGACCAGAGCCGGCCATGGGCTGTTTGAAGGTGGCCTGCCAGGTCCATGGGTCGTGTGTACCGGCTGCTGCAATTCTGGCATCGCAACGTTAATTGAAGTCGAACATGTGCATCACGGAGTGTATCCACTAAGAGTCCCTCACACATGGCTTTGATCCATTGTGGTTGAACATCAATGACTTCCGTTGGAAGGTCTGGGCAAAATTTCATGCACCTGCCTTGGTTTATGTGAGAGCGCAGGGATTCCAGGCTGTCATACATCTTGTAGCAGTGATTGCACACCGGTTCTCCATCCAGCGTGTCTCGTGCTGGGTTGAAGCTCTGGCTTTTCAAGTGGTGAACGCCAGTCAAGTGTTCATGCAACTTGTCACTGCTGTCAAATGTTTCCATGCAAATTTCACAACGCAAGGTCACAGGTGCAGGAGTCTGGTCTGACGTCAGGCCTCCTCCGTAAATTAACAACATTGCCAGCTGCGTCCAGATCGGACATTGATGATTGGCCTTGAAGAGCTCATTGCAAAAGGGGCATGGTGGCTCCTCGCCATAAAGGTTTGTGAGTTGATGCCCCTTGCTTTGCATGTTTGGCCAAAACTCAGGGTGATGCAGTTTGTAGTGTCGGTTCATCTCTTGTGTGCGGCCTACAAACTGATCGCACAGGCAGCATCTGTTGGTCAGATACCTGCATGCATCTGTCTCCTTCTTCATATGGTGCCAGGTACGTGACCCAACGATGGTGAGAACACGGCGTCCCCACTCCTGGCTCAAAATATTGAGCAGGTCAGCATCTGTCAGCATGGCAGCTCCACGTACTGATGGATCCTGTTTTGGTGCAAACATTTGCTCAGGTTGCAGCAGATCAGCTGCCAGTGGGTCGGACTTGCTCCAACAGTCAGGAGGTCCAGCTTGCAACACCTGACATCCACGTTGAGCATGTATGGCAAACGTTCTCCAGCTAGTGAATGTTTTCAGGCAATGCATGCATTGTGGTAATCCATGTTTCATGTGATGTGTCAAGGAAACATTGAGACTCCTATTCATGCGATGCCCATGAACTGACGTGCAATGTCTTCGGAAAGTGGCAACATCATGTGCATAAAAACCACAGAGCTGGCAGTAAAGATCTTGTCTGAGCTGTGGCGCGTCTTGGACGTCAGGGGCAATAAGAACTTCTGAGCCTGCATGCACATGTCCATGAAAAAGGTCAATCAGCTCATGCAAGTGACTCCAATCTAAGGTGTGGATCAGGTCAGTGGATGCTGCATGTTGCAATCGCTGCTGAATGGACCTCTGGAGGCACTCAACGGAGTTCCGCAACCATGTGGCTGGCAAGGCGATGCGGTTGGTTGCAAGTGCTTGCTCATGTGTTAACCCTGTGATGTATGCATGATTGTGCAAAATTTGCCGCAACATACTGTACATGGTCTTCTGGAGCAATTGCATTCCAGGCAGGGTGATGCCCAATGAAAAAATGCCATATGTCATCACTGGATAGACACAAGTAGTGAAAAGTTGAATCCTCTGGGCGCGATGCAATCCTCTCTTGCCAGTAAGCCGGCGCTTCAGGCGGCCAAAAGCAACGCGTGCAAGGTTGATTCGATGTTTCACTGTGGCAAGTTCATGATTGGCATATGTGATCACAGTGCCCAAGTACTTGGCTTGGTGTTCAATTTGGATCCAAAGAGGATGTTCAGCAGTGCCAAAACGCAGCCATTCTTTCCCATCACGCCACATAGTCAGTTTGGAGCGCACCTGTCTGTGTGAAGTGCCTCCCATGGTGAGCAAGGCTGTGCACTTGGATGGGTTGATGGTCAGTCCAAACTTCTGCAAGAGTATCAGCGTCTGATTGATGTGATGCAACAGTGTGTAAAGTTCCTCTTGGGATCGGAACTCATCACCCATCTGGCAATCGTCAGCAAAAACATTCAAGCATTTGAGGATCCACTGTGGTGGGACAAGCCGACTCAGTTCTGTCAGGAAAAGCCACATGTACCCATTCCATAACAGGGGGGCTGCACGGCAGCCTTGTCTGACGCCTTTTCCTACAGGAATTGGAGTATCAGTGCCGTTACAACGCAAATGGTATCGGGTTTCTTGATGCCATAGGGTTAGGAGGAGCACTACTTGGGGATGGATATCGAGCAGGTGCAGTTGCTGAAATAGATGTTCACGACATACCATGTCAAATGCACGTTCAATGTCCAAAAACAATTGGAGACCTCCTGCAACTTTGTATCGGCATTGTCCACTCTGTCTGGAGTGCGGCGTGGATCGAGCACTTCGAATTAATGATCTGGCAGTAACACAATGTTTGGCTACTCTGAGTAGTGCGTCCTGTGTTGAACGCCCCGGGAGATAAGCCCAAAGTGGCATGGCAGTCAGTTTCGGAAGTGCATCTTTTTGGGCTGCTTTGGTGAGCAGGCCCATCAGGGCCTTACTAATGGGTTCCTGAAGTGCTAACGGCCTCAATGCCCTTGGATCCACTGGTGGCTTATTGGGTTTTGGAATAAGAATCATCCATGCATCCCTAAACCAACTGGGTAGATATGGGGTAGGGCGTGACCACCAATCTTGAAGTCTGGTGAAGATGGCTGGTGCTATGATATGTGCCAATGCTTTCCACACTGCGCCAGGGGCACAGGGGCGCGCAACGGCTTTGGTCGGATCAATGCGGCACATCTCACGTTCCAGGTCTTCGGCAGTGAAAGGTAGGCCTGAAAAAGGCACATTGGCTGTGGGAAAGCATTCAGGTCCTTTCCATGTATCCATGACAAATTTCCTCAGAATGGCAGCTTCTTCAACTGGGGACGCAATGTGTCCATTGATGTTTCTAAGCTGCATTCTGCGTCGAGATTGTTTGGGGGTATATTTGTTGATGATTCCAAACAGGGTGCGGCTGTCATGTCGATCTGCAGCAACCTGTGCGCTGGTCAGCAACTCCTGAAATCTGAGCTTGCGTACGTGTTTCGCATGTTGTTTGGACTGTCGATTGAGATGTGCAAACCTTGCCAAATGGTGCCATGCATGAAAAAAATGCCGTAATGAAGGTGTTGAAATCTTCAAAAGCAATTTTCGGTGGTGCCACTTGGTCATGGTCAAATGTTGTGTGGTTGTGTCAATGGCATGATGATGGCGTTTGTTATGTGGAAAAAAAGATTGATAATGACTAATCGCAGTTGCATGGCAGCAAGTGTTCATCTGAGGTCCTGGCATCATTCAATACTTTCGTCAGTGCAGTGCTGGTCTGATCCAGAAAAGCTTGCCATGTGTCTGTCTGTGCACGATAGGCCATGTGTCCAGTGCGGCGCTGCTGTGTGGTGATGCCAGTTCCCATATCTTTGGGAGCATACCATGTCTTGCGCAGTTGAGTGAGGATCGGGGCATGTCCATGGTGCAGGTCAGTGCAAAATGGCGCGTCCCAAACATATTTGGTGTCTTTGGCAATTCCATCAGCAGCTAACTTCCGTGTAAAGACAAAGTCTATACGTGAACTCTTGTCTGCTTGGATGAACGTTGGGCCTAGACACGGATCCCAAGAGTTCAGTGCCGTCAGGCCATGCAGTCTGACAAGGGACATGAATTTGCCCTCATCTGCATGAGAGGCTCCGCGAGTCCATTGGTTGCGCCATTTATACTTGCACGGTCCTCCGTGTGACCTGGCCTGTGGCAGGCTGCAGTTGAAGTCACCTGTGACTACCAATACATTCCTTGCTGCAAGACCCTGCAATAGGGCGTCCAATTGATTCCACCATCTGAGTCTGTCTTGTTCCCTCTGGGAGGTGTGTGCTTGGGTGTGTTGGTAACACCCCACAATGTCAATGCTGCGTGTCGGCAATTGGATCTGCAGGTGGATGAGGCGTCCAGGAATTATGACTCTCCATCGAAGGCTGTCTGCAGTGCAAAAACGAGTTGATAAAACACACAAGAGTCCGGCTCCACGGTTCTTTGGGTCACCCGTGTGTATGTAATGGAAGTCTCCATCACTCCACTCATTCTCATATGTCCATCTCGTTTCCTCAATCACAGTGACATCTATGTGATTCTCCTGCATCCAAACCCTTATGGAATCCAGCCTATGGGTGGACAGTCCACCGGCGTTCCATTGAAGCATTCGAAAACGCTTGGCATCTTGATGTTTTCGATTGCAACGCGTGAGTTGTGGGGACGGTTTGTCCCGTTCTGGCAATGCATGGTCAGGTTGAGGCTGTTGCAGAGCTTTGGGAAAGGCGCTGGGTGTCATGCATCTACCTTTATACCATGCAACTCCATGTTTCACCGCTCGGACATAAGCCCTTTTGATGCTGCGCTTCACTACAGGCTTAGGGGCAGCACGCCAGTCTTGTGCTCTCAAGCATGTTTCTGGCCGCGTGTCATGTTGCTTTGTGTCACACTGTTGGAGGAAGGCAGGAATCCAATCATGAGACACTTCAACACTCTCCATGACAAGAGTGTAACCCTCACTCCTCACAAGCTCAACTGCAGTGACTGAAAAAACCAGCAAAAGGAACCAAACGAACCAGAACCAGGAAAATCGATGGTTCCTGAGGAGCTTGTGCCTGGACTTGGGACCAGGTTGCCCCCCCCCGTGTTCAAGGTCAGTGGATGCACTCAATTTCGTTCTGTCTCTCCCGTCCAGCCAAAAAGAAATTGAAAAACGGTGGAAAAGAACACTCAGACAGCCAATGTATGCAGCCAAACACAAAAACAGTGGGACTGCAGCAGAAAATCGGTTACTGAAGTGTGCGATTTCACCAAGCCAGGGCCTCTGCAGGTGCAAGGAACTGGTCTGATCAGCTGTTGATTTCCAGAGTTGTCTCGTACAGCACAAGACCGTGGGGCTCTGTGCAACAGTGTTCAAATCAAGTTCAAATTGGTGCAGTCTGTTTGGACTCAGCTGAATTGCAAAACAAAGCCACAGAATTAAATTGGTCAAATCAGGAAAAACGTTCAGGAGCTGTGTGTGTCCTTCAGCCCAGGTGAAGCTGAGAAAATATGTCAATGTTGGGTCGTCAGCACTTTTTATCAAGCAACAGCGGTAGCAAAAGTGCAAAAATCCACACCTCTGTCTGCAGAGTCACAGGGAATCTGTCAGTGCTGAAAAACGCAGTCTCTCCGTCGGAGGCAGGCGGGCCAGTCTGTGATATGAGGGAGCCCACTCCCCAGTTGCCTGCTCCGTGATCTTGTATTGCTATCTGTTGTGGAAAATAATAGGCCAGTGAAAAAGTTGTATGGGAGCCTACCCCAAAAATTTCGATCCACCAATTCTGAAGGGCCAGTGAAAATTGTGTCCAGAGGGAGCCCACCCCTGTCAATTTGAGAATCCACGTAGTGGCTGTTTGTTGCCGTATATCGTGGTCTGTCAAGTCAACAGCACAGTCACCAGGGAATGCACATGCAATGTCAAAATTGGAGGCCAGTGAAAAATGAGTAAGGGAGCCTACCCCAAATCGAAAATCAAGCTGAAATGCAAAGAGGGCCAGTGAAAAATCTGAATATAGGGAGCCCACCCCTTTCCGGTCGATGTACCACTTCTCCGCTCCAAAAAATCGCAAAAACGGAGAGGCAGCACTGTCAAAAAGATGTTGTATTGGAGGTGAAGGGTCAGAAACAAGCAGGCCAGTCAGCTGTGTATGGGAGCCCAATCCCCAGATGCTTGTTCCTGCCCACAGGTAAAAATCACCTGTCACCAACTGTGTTTGTCTGCTCAGTCGCAATGCTTCGCAAGGTTCAGCAATGAGTGATGATGTCGCGTGAAACGTTGGATCCAGGAGCTGATTGTCAATCCGTATCGGTTGTCGCTGGGCCAGTGAAAAATCGTCACAAAGGGAGCCCACCCCTATCAATTGCTTGTATTCAAAATTGATGGAACAGTCAATCGGGTCGTCCACACCCTCTGTCGAAATCACTGGGCCAGTCAGTCGAATGGGAGCCCACCCCCACGCAAAATATTGGTCTGGCAAGATTGCAATTGGTGCCAGTGCAGCAGGGATCCAGAGCGCGATGAAAAGCACTGTCTGTAGGATCGTCGTGTTGAATGCAAACAAAATCAAATGGAAGATGCTCAAATCTGCAAAAATTTGAAGGTTGTGGCCAGTGAAAAATTACGGGGAGCCACCCCCAAAACGCTGATGTCCAGGCAGGTGATGCAGCCGCACAGGAAGGCCAATGGCGCGCTGAACGGGATAGAAAGGGGCTGCGGCCTCGCTAGGTGAGGCGTTTGAGTGCACGCGGGGGTGCAAAGGAGCTTGTGTTTGTTTGTGTGTGTGTGTGTGTGTGGGTGGGTGGTGTGTGTTTTTTTTTTCCACGCTCCTTTTTCTGAAGTCAGACTCGGCGCTAGCCACAGATGTTTCGTTTAAACATCTGGTTCTCTTTGTGAGAAGCAGTCCCTACGCACCGTAGCAGCCTACCACATCAGGCGGGAAAAGATGTGGCAGCTCATATTGCTCGGACGAGATACGGCATGGCCTAAGGTCTCTAGTTGGCCTATGTGACTCTGGACAGGTGTCACGTTGGTCACCGCATGGTGAGACGTCACTAATTGAGAAACAACAGAATTGTTTTTTTTTAATACTGGCCATCTTGAAACTTTGGGCTATGCCTCTTGGACCAGTTTATGTGACACTGGGGGTACACCCTGGGATACAGGGGGCCTGAAAGCGGGGTCGGGGATCTACCAGTTTGGGCAACTGGGTGCATGGGGGCTGGCAACATGCAGTAGCATGGGAACATCGTGTTCCAAGGCAGGCTGAAATGACTCAGTGTCCGATGAGAAATCCGGCAGGCAATGGTAGGGTAGTTGCATGACATCATGTTGGGCTATCAAAGCATCCACAACCAGCAAGCATGGAAAGTGGCAAAAGGCCATCTGACTGAATTTGGTAGAAGCGCCGACTAGGCCTTAGCAAAATGCCGATTGGAAAACGCCAAATGCGTGGAGAGGCTCGTCATCCTGAAAACAGGTACCCTCGGACGTGCAACAGCATCAACATTGGCAAAATGCCAGAAAGAAGTTGGTGGTCGCCTTCTAGGCCTTAGCAAAATGCCGAAGATTTGTGCACCCAAATGAGCTCACAAATTAAAAAAAGTTCCAACATGCCCGAATGGCTCTCTGGGGCATTGGCAACATCGATAGGGTGCTGTGTCCGGCCAGTTCCTGATGTCAGAATCGCTGGGCGACCCACTAGGGGAGTTTGCCACGTTGGATTCTATGGTGAGACGAATGATTTTTTTTTTTTGGGGGGGGGGGCTTCTTTTTGTGGCCCTTCTCTCTTTTTTTTTGTTTTGGGGCTGGGGTACACTCTGGGCTGCAGAGGGCTTGTACAGGGGCCACTAGGGGACAAGCCAGCCGAGGAGGCTGGGTGCAGGGGTGAAATGCAAATAAAAAAAAGGAACATGGTCACGGCTCAGGATCTGGCTGTGTGGCCAAAAGGGCCATGAGATCAGTGTCGGCAATGCCAGCTGTGTCACGGCCCGGCGCCAATCGATGAAAGTCGGCCTTGCTCGTTTGGCACAGCCATAGGCACGTGATGCCCTGTGCAAAAATCTCAGGCACGTTCAGGATACGCTGTGGAGAGTGCCCATCATCGCAAAGCATCCACATTGAGGGGTTGGCCAAATCCGAAACCTCTGGAAAGGTACGCAGGAGGGCCTGGTAGTGACCGTTGTGTGCACCTCCCAGATGAGCGATGCAGGCAATCACTGTGTATGGCATCCATGTGCATGCATGGGGCCCCAGCACTGGTATCTGTACCTCCCATCCAAACCTGAGGGCTGCTTGGCACTTGACGACTGTGCCATCAGGAGCATGTATCATGCGATCTACATGTAAAAGAAGCAGGTCCTCAGGGTCCGTAAGACCAGCCAACATTCCAAGCTCGGTGTGCCACGTCCTGAGCAATGTGGACAGCTGGATTTCATGGTGATCGACCAATTGGGGATCAAATTGCAGTGTCAATGGCATGAACTTGTCACCTGCATCATGAAGCACAAGGCCTTGTTCTGTCTGCACACGGCGCTCCCAGCAATTGGAAATGGCAGACATTGCAGTCCAGCTGGACAGCATATGTGCAAACTCCGCACTGTCAGCCTGCTCCCCATCCTCATTCCAACCCTCTAATAAGTGCTGAAACCATGAAGCATTCTCCAATGAAAAAAGGGTCCCATCTGCAAGTTCAAGGGTCTGTTGGAGGATGGCTGATCGTGCGCCCCAGTCTTGAAAGACAAAAGCAGATCTGGATAAGGTGGCCCAGATCAAACTCACAAAAGCGCTATTGGCATAGCAGTCATTCCCCGGATTGGCCATGGCAAGGTTCAGTGCTCGGTCTCTCAGGCTCTGTCTGGAAGCAGCATCTAAGGACTCTGGGATGTCTTGCCTTTCCCGCGGCCGCGGCTCTTCCCCTGGGGGTTCTGTCCTTTGCCCATGGCCTGTTGGAGCAGCAAGGCCGGTTTCGAGAGCACCTGGGAGTGCTGTTTGGCCGACATGCCCAACAACGACCACACTGTGTTGTGGCAAAGTTCCACCAAAAGTTCCCAGGCTTCGGCTTCCCGATGCGAGATCTGAAGGATCCACGGGATGGCTTCCTGGCTGCTCTGGGTGTTCTTGAGGCTCTGAAATCTCACTACGTGCGCGTTGCTCTGGAATTGCTCCTCCAGGATCTGAAGGTTCCGGATCATCTGGGCCATGGCCACCGGGCTGCGGGAGGCCTTGATCAGCTGCTTCGTCTCCTGTGACCACTTCTGATAGCCCCAGCTCCCATCTGGGTGAATTGTTCCCTTGCTCACCGCCACGTCCCAAAGTTGGTCGCCTGGTTTGGTGGCTGCCAGCTGCTGGACTCGCCTGAGGAGTTCTGTGATCACTCCCTTCATCAGGTAGGTCCGGAGGTTGGGCCATCTCAGGTTGTCCTTCTGCTGGGGCCATTCCTCCCGCCACTTGCTGGCCAACATCGTGAGGTGGGGGACAATGCCTTCCGGTCGATTTTGGCAGAACAAAACGAAGCAGTCCTGTCGCTGGTTGAGCTGGATGCTCCTCTCGTGGTTGAGAAGAAGTTGGCCCATCAGCCGCAGGAGTGTTGTGATCGCCTCCTTGTTGAGCCCGTCGTGGTCTTGCTCTTCTTTGGCCTTGGCCTTGTGCCGCTTGGGATGCTGTTCTTCGACGCTTCCCTCGTGATGCTTCCGTGAGCCCAACAGAAGGGGGCCAAGAGCTGCCAATCCATCCATCAGGGCCTGATCGTTGGGATCCATCAGAGCGTCCATGAATTGGCTGCAGCAATATGGCAATCTGAAGGGCCACCGGGCAGCTTGAGACAAAATGACTCTTTTGCAGCTGTACGCGTTGCAACGGTGGCATGTCACTGTCTGCTGAAGGCAAATTGTAGATTTGTTGACACAACGTGCACCGATAATCTTGGGGCTGCAGCTGGGACAAGAGGTCATGAAGCTGAAAGGCAATCTGAGTAGCCCACGCGCATGTTTGGGGATGGACCGTGAGGAGGTGGCGCAGTAGCTCAGCAGGTTGATAGTGGCCTCCACATGCCATACATCTGGATTTGAGAGCATGTACGACCGCAGTATCTGTCCAGAGTTGGGCAAAATTCCTGGCAACCAGCAAGGTAATCATCCGTTGTGTCAGTGCTTCATCCCGTAACGGCGCAAGCAGAGGGGCCAATGTGTCCACATGGAACTGTGTCGGTACCAAGAGCTGCACATCGCTGTTGGCCATCATCATCGCAACCTGACGCAGTGGCGTGCAAATGTGTGCAAGGCCTACTTCATGTGCCTGTGGGTTGCAGATGCAGCCGCGAGAAGCCATGACAACCTGCAAAAGATACCTCAGCATAGGTTGCGATGCATTCCACAGTGGTCCATGTGACTGGAGAAGGTGTGCAACTACATCACCTGTGCGCATGTACTTGGCCTCACAGAACTGACAGGTGGTGGTCAACTGAAGCCGTTGGTGGGCAGAAAGGCCAGTGGGAGAAAAATCCCCTTGGTGAAGCCAGGCACTCCATTTGGCTGTATTGTCCGTTGGGTTGTGAGAAGCCAGCGGGTCAAATGCCTCGCATCTGCCTTCAGTGATGTGGCGCCTCAAGCCGGAGCGGCTGTCGAACTGCATGGAGCAGTGACGGCATTGATCACTGCCCTGGACAGAGTCCCTTGATGGGACCCAATCGCTCAAGGTTTGGTTGTGGTCCCTGGCCATGTGCTGATACAATTGCCCCTGATCATCAAACTGTTGAACACAAACTTCACATGTCAGTTCCTGCTGAGCACGGATATCAGGCTCCTGCATCTGAAGACGGAGAATGCCAATTTGTAAAGTCACTGGACAGCTGTGGACCCGGCTGTACTGCTTGTTGCACAGGGCACAGGGTGAGACCAGCTGCATCACGTGTGTGAGTTGGGCACCCTTGACTACCCCACCTTTCAGCTGCTCATCATGGTAAAGGCGGTAATGGCTATGCAATTCCTGAAACCGATTGCACCATGTTCCGCAGATGGCGCAGTGGTGTACTAGGTGTTCCAAACCAACTGATAGCTGACAAAGGCCGGGCCAGTCATCATGGTGCAGGCATCGTTCTAACTCAGGCCAGAACGGTTGTGTCGTCACCTGGAAGTGTCGATGGACAGTATCCCTGGCTGACATTGGTGTGAGTCGCACATCCGTGGGCTCTGGCGACAGCATGGGGGGCACCTGACAGCAAGCCCGTTGAACATGAACAATAAAGGCTTTCCATGATGAAAAGGTAATGTGGCAGTTATTACATTGAGGTTTACCGTTCAAGGTCATGGCCAAAGGTGACGTTGATACAGTTCGAAATTGTGGCTGGTTGTGGTGAGTGGTCAAATGCCGTCGCAGATTGGGAACGGAGTCTGTGACAAATTGGCAATGTGGGCAATGTTGGCGTGCCTGCACTCTGATCGGATCGTCAGGGCAGGGACTTATGGGCACCTCCGGTGCATGCGCTTGCATACTGTGAATGAGATGCAACAGGTCTTGAAGCTGAGTCCAATCCAATTGACACAAGAAATCCTGGGGGCTTAAAATGGTTGCACGCCTCTGGATGCGTTGCAGCAGGCCCATAGCAAGGGCTCGAAGCATATCGAGTGGCTGATCTATCCGATGCTGTTGGAATGCTGCCTGATGTGTGGTGTGCGTGATGTACGAGTGATCTTGAAGCACTACTCGGACCATTCTGTATACAGTCCCCTGAAAGTCAAGTAGAACGGGAATTGTCACATTGGTGGCCAAGAGCCCATAAGTGAGCACAGTGAACACACACGTTTTCCACAAATACATGCGATGGGCACGTGTCAGTTGCCTACTCCTGAGCCATGCACGCAACCGGGCAAATGCCAACCAGCTGGCTTGTTTGCGATGTCGCCAAGTCAACATCTCAAAGGCATGATAGCTGATGCAAACACCTAGATAGGATCCCTTACTACGCAGCGGCAAGCAGGTGTGTTCTCTTCCCAGGCGTGGCACTCGGATGCTGGCCCCTGTGGGCGATCGTTGCAAGACATCTTTGAGAGCTGCCCGTGCATTTGTGCCAGCATAGGCAATCAACATAAATGACTTGGAGTAGGACAAGGACAGCTTCAGGTTTTCTATCACGTCCAGAGTATGACCTATATTCACCAAGTGGGTTTGGAGTTCTTGTTTGGATCGAAATTGGCAGCCTACATGAACATCGTCTGCGTAGATCGTCAAACAGTCGTGAACCCATTGATAACCACATCGATTGGCCACTTGACGCAAAAAAAGGTCCATGAAACTCACCCACAATAGGGGGGCCAGTTTACACCCTTGGCGTAGGCCCTTTCCTACGGGGATTGAAGTGGTGGCACCCCTAAAGGAAAGATTGTAATGAGTGTGTTCATGCCAGCTGGCTGCCAACTGCACCAAATTGGGCGGTGTTCCAAGTTGGATGAGATGGTCGAAAATCGCACGCCTATCTGCACTGTCGAAGGCCCGATTCAAGTCCAAAAACAGTGAAAGGCCGCCACAAATGGTGAGCTTGGCGGTATTGGCAATTTGATTCTTGGTAGTGCGCCGATGGGCGGCCACCATCTCCCGGATGCATCTGCTATGTTGTGAAACCCGCAGGATCGCATCAGTTGCAGCACGGTATGGCAAGAATCCAAATTGCGGTAATTGGTTCAACAAGGTAAAGATACAAGCTTTGATTTTGGTGGCGATCAACCCCATGACAATTTTCCCCAACGGCTCCATGAGTGATATGGGTCTTAATTGGTCGGGGTGTGTATTGGGTTTTCCTGGTTTTGGGAGGAAAAATAACCAAGAGTCCTTCCAATTTTTGGGGATGATGGGGGGGGATTGTGACCACCATTCTTGGAGGTGACAATAAACAAAGCTAGCAACTTCCCGGGGAGCACTGCGCCATACAACTCCTGGCAGGAAAGGCTGTGCAACTGACTTGTTGGTGTGGACCTTTGCCACTGCCTCGACCAATTCCTCAAGCTCAAAAGGAATCCCCGGCGGGGCAGCATAGTAAGTTGGCAGTCTGCTGGGGCCTTGCCACATCTGCTTCACGAATGCCACTGTGAGGGAATGAGCCATGTACTGATCAGCTATTGTGCCATCTGGACCCCTGAGTCTTGCCCGTGCCAATGGGCGTTTGGGTGCGAATCGGTTGATGATATTAAACATTGAATGTGTGTCATGGATGTGTGCAGCAGTGGAGACCTCTTGGCACAGATCCTGGAAGTGTTCTTTTCTGGCCTGGCGGATAGCTTTCTGCTGTGCACGTTGAAGTACTTGATATCGGCAGCGAGAATGCCAGGCCTGCATAATTTTGGACAGGGTTTTTTGTCCTGTCTGTGCAAGGTGCCGCAACTGCTTTTTGAAGTACCATTTATCAACTATGGCTCCATGAACAGCGGTGAGGTTTGCCTGGGACACATTCTGAGTCTTGTTGGAAAAAAATTGGTGAAACGCAGCTGAGACCTGGTCATGAATCTTTTGAATGAGGGCTTCAGGTGATAGGGCCTGATGATCCGCATGAACGGCTTCGACAACTTGTTGGCGTAGGCTGTGCCATGCTTGAGTCTCCTGAAGACCAGCCGTCCTACATTTTGATCTTTGCATAAAGGTGCAAGATGTTGGCCGTTCATACGTCTGATATGCCATGTGTTTGGCTCGAATGTTACAAAGTATGGGTATGTGATGCGTACAGTTGGCAGGTACAAAATCAGCATCATGCAGGAACTGGACTTGCTTGGATAAGCCATCACAGGCCAACATTTTAATCAAAAAATGATCTATCCTGGATGTGGTATCTCCATGGACATAAGTGGCTCCTGATGCTCCCCAAGTGTTGATGGCCGTGAGGCCATGCAGTTGCAAGATTTCGCGGAGTCGTGCCTGGTCAGGGTGGGTGGATCCTGTGGTCATCCGCCCATGCCATTTGTAAGATGTCGTACCAATCCACGGTGGATGCGAATCCAGTGAGCAATTAAAATCCCCTGCACAGATCATGTTGTTGCGGGAAGGCTGTTTGTGTAATGCCGTGTTGAGGGCATCCCAAACCTGTTCCCTCTTCTGAGCTGAGATCGTTGTACGGTTGTCCACGTACTGGTAAATCGCCAGGATGTCCAGCGCCCGGGAGTCAAAGTGTACCCTGACATGGACCAACCGTCCATCCACAATGGCCTGATGGCCAATCTGTTCCGGGCATGCCAAACGTCTGGAGATCATGATCAATATACCCCCACTTTTGTAGTCATCAGAAGCTGAATGCACATACATCCATGCTTTGTCAGTCCAAGTGGATGAAAAGCTCCAACGCGTCTCCGTTAAGACAACGATGTCCACAGGATGTCGTTGCAGCCATAGTCGTATTTCAGCAAGCGTGGACTGAGCCAGTCCTCCAGGATTCCAATGTAGGCAGGTCAGGCGGCCCTTATGCGGGGCCGTAGTGCTGTGAGTCCGAGGGCATCGTGTCAATGGGGATTCCGCTTGAAGCTTCTGAACCAAGGCTGGTGGGAAGTCCTCGACGCGCATGCAGCTGCCATGATAATGCGAGGACCCATTCAAAATCGCTCTGCGGCAGGCCCTTTTGAAGCTCCGCTTTTGCACTGCTGTGAATGGTGCAGCGGGACGATTCGAGCGACTGCTCATTGGCGGCTGTTTTCCATTTTTTGCAGAGCCTTGACAAAACTCTGTTATCCAGTTGTCTGCTCCCACTGTGGATATGGAACCACAGTAACCCTCACCCTGATGGCCGATGTGCTGGAAACCTGGGCACTCATATAGTCGTTTCTGAGTTGTTGCAGATGTAGAGTGCATAGATCGACTCGAGGCCATCCCCGGAATTGGGACCGGGGAGCGATCACAAGCAAAAGAAATCTGTCCAATGACCCAGAAAAATTGAAACCAGAAAAATTGAATCCACATGCTGTGTCCCGTTGTTGTACCAAAAATGTAGAGATCACTGTCACAAGGGCAAAAGCTTTGGCCAGCAGGTGAAGTGTCTCAACCGACACTGCAAAATGAAATTGTAAGCCTGTGAATTACCAAAATTGAAATCGTATTCCGGGCCAGGAAATTGTTGTAGGAGCCCACCCTGTTGTATGGCCAGAGAAAGAAATGGGAGCCACCCCTTACCGGACCAGAAAACAAAACGCAGGGAGTCCACCCCTTAAAGTTCCAGCTATGGCGTCGCCGCGGCAAAAACGTCCGGCTACGTCGGAACCCGTCCTAGCAGCTCCTCGCTGCTTGCACGCAGTGCTTGTGACCGCACAGGGCTTGGGTGGTGGGTGTGTGTGTGTGTGTGTGTGTGGTTGTGTGTGTGTGTGGTTGTGTGTGTGTGGTTGTGTGTGTGTGTGGTTGTGTGTGTGTGTGGGTGTGTGTGTGGTGTGTGTGTGGTGTGTGTGTGGTGTGTGTGTGGTGTGTGTGTGGTGTGTGTGTGGTGTGTGTGTGGTGTGTGTGTGGTGTGTGTGTGGGTGGGTGTGTGTGTGGTGTGTGTGTGGGTGGGTGTGTGTGTGGTGTGTGTGTGGGTGTGTGTGTGTGGTGTGTGCTGGTGTGTGTGTGTGTGTTGTGTGTGGTGTGGTGGTGTGAGTGTGTGGTGTGTGTCGTGTGGTGTGTGTGTGTGTGGTGTGGTGTGTGGTGGGTGTGGTGTTGTTTGTGTGTGGTGTGTGTGTGTGTGGTGGGTGTTGTGGTGTGTGTGATTTGTGGTGTTGTGTTGTGTGCTGGTGGTGTGTGGTGGGCTGTGTGGTGGGTGTGTGGTGGGTGTGTGGTGGGTGTGTGTGGGTGTGTGTGTGTGTGTGTGTGTGTGTGTGTGTGTGTGTGTGGGTGGGTGTGTGTGTGTGTGTGGGTGGGTGTGTGTGTGTGTTTTGTACGGGGATGCTTGTACCATGCCTTACCATTCATATCATCACTCAACCTAAGACTGTTCAAAAAAGTGTTGGACCATTGTTTAAGTGGTTCAATTACTTATAATACAAACACATATATATAGCAATATAAATCATGATTATAAACCCATATTTTCCATATGGTTTTCCAACAATTTGATCGACCAAGGAGTGGCCCCGTGGCTCCTTTCCAGTGGAGTGCCGGTGCCTGGTTCGTGAATGAAACGCAGCAACTGGGCCTCCGAACTGCCACGGCCTTGCGACACCACGCGGCCTCCGCACGCTTTCCGTCGTTCTCCAACCGGGGGAAGGACTTGGTGCTTCAGCCTCCAGGATTTGCTCAGTGGATACCCAACCTGGTTATGACTAACAGTTTGCCATGGTATAGATGGCCCATAGAAATAGATGGTTTACCTATTAAAAATGGTGATGTTCCATAGTTATGTTAGTTTACCATATGCAGAGGGTAACTGGTATTTTCACCCAAGTTGATGGGGATAAAAGTGGATATAACTGTTTTTTTTAACCAATGATGATGGGGATGTGTGTGGTATAGTTTTTACATTTTACCATCAAAAATGAAGATTTTTAAAGTGATCAGTGATAATGGTTGGTTGATGATTTTCGGGTGATTTTAATTTTTGGTTGGATTCCCAAGGGGAATTCCACTCACTACTTGGGGAATGTTGTGAAGAGAGTTCCGGAGCAGCAAATCCCAGGTTTACGGTAAAACATGAGAAATACGAGAATGAAGATGATTTGTCTTTCTGTGCCGGTGGCTACTTGAAAATCTTGGGAACAGATTTCGATCAGTCGCTCTTTGGTGGGGAAACCCCATACAAGATCATGTTTGGGCCAGATATTTGTGGCTATGACGTGTCTGTGATCCACCTGGTGTTCAATTGGAAAGGGCGGAATCTACACCGAACTCCAGAGATTCCATTGGAATTCGAGGAGCGTGATTCCAAATCGCACATCTACACATTGCTGCTGAAACCCGACAACACGTACAAGGTCTACATTGATTTGCGAGAAAAGTCGTCTGGCAGTTTGCATGAGTTTTGGGACTTTCCCAAAATTACAATCGACGACCCCACGGATCGGAAACCCGAAGGTTGGATCGAGAAGAGACGAATCATTGATCCGGAAGTCAAAAAGCCAGTGACTTGCCGAAGCCGATGGTATGTTTTTGGTGAGTGTGCCCCGATTGTTCTGAATGATTAGTAGACATAGCTGCACCTGAATTAGTTTGGAGATGCCAGGTTTATCCATTTTTTGGGTAAGGCTGGCCTTGCAATGGATTCTTTTAAGCGTTTTAAGTTGGGATAAGCCATTCCAGAAACTAGTTCAGAACACTGCTGGTCCTTACCTGCTGGTGCTTCCTGATTTTTTTGATTTATGTTCTACCTTGACTTGGGATGATGATTCCCAATTAACATCAATAAACAAGATTTCTTCAATGAGATAAGAAACCACCGGATTAAAGTCATGAGTTTTTCCAGGAAGACTCAGGAAGACTGGGTGGAGGATCGGTTGATCCCAGACCCAATGGCTTCTAAACCCTTGGAGTGGGATGATTTGGAAGATGGCCCCTTTGTGGCTCCCCTGGTGGAGAATCCCCTCTACAAGGGTCCCTGGTTTCCGGCGCGCGTGGAGAACCCTGACTTTCGGGGAGAATGGAGGCCCAGACAACGGGGAAACCCCGAGTATCAGGAGGAAGTTTATGCCTTTACTGACCTGGCCGCCGTGGGACTGGAACTTTGGACGGTTCATGAGGGATCGGTGTGGCTGGGCGTCAGTTGGCATCTCATCCGCCCCCGGTTCAATGGTTCCAAATATGCGCAAATTTCCCACTAAGCCAAGGTTTATGGGATGTCTTTATGTGTGTTTAATAGTATTTTCCGGGATGGTAATATTCTGGAATATTGGCGTTTCTTCCGTCATGTGTAACTACCATTTGAAACCCCAAACTGCACTAGTTGATGCCACACAGTTGTGGTCTAGGCGAGGGATTGCTGAGGTATCTGCCTGATTTCCAGGCAAGGAAACACACAATAGATATACTGGTTGGTGGTTTGGAACATTTTCTTTTCCATTTCATATATGGGATTTCCATCCTTCCCACTGACTTGAACTCCATCATTTTTCAAGATTGTTAATTAAAACATGTTAAAACCACCAACCAGATATAGAAAAATTGACATTAATTAACCAAGATGGCTAATTGGAACATATAGAAATTGAAATTGACATTAATTAGTTGGCATATGTTCCAATCGCTGGGATTCTGGGACCGCACCCTGCCAAGGGTCGACTGTGGTGGATATCGCGAATAGACGGACGTTAGCAGATTTCTCCTGTTGTGTTTGAAGTGAGTTTAAGCGTCCGAAAATTTCTTTGGTGTGTCTATTTTGTTTAGATATATCAGATATGTTTGAAGCTTGTGACTAAATATCCTCATTCTGTGTTGTGTGTCTTTGGTGTGTCTTCTTTGGTGTTTAGATTCCGGATTCCAAAATGTTGGTTTCAGCCACCAGCAAAATGTTTGTGTATCCAGCTATCCAGACCCGCTGGGCCAAAGTCTCTTGGTAAAATCACTCCTCAAATTCTTGGATATCTGATATCTAACAGCTAGCCACAATTCTACATAGTTATCCACACTGAACCCTAGTTACCCATAATTAATACTTGATATTTTCCAGATACATCCATTCGTACTTATCCATTCACTTATCCATGCCCTTAGAGGTACAGAGATATCTAGTCATCGTCGAGGTTCGACAACATCCTGCTCTGTGACTCCTGGGACTTGGCCAAAGCCGAAGCCTCCAAGCTCCAGGAGATCTTCGCCAAGGAAGCCGAGGTGCAACGGAAGTGGAAGGCGCTGCACGGCGCCGGACGTGCCCCACATCCCGGTCCTGGGAGCAACGAGGTGCGGTGCGCTGCGGCATGGTGATGAGATGATAAGATGTGTAGCTGAGAAAGTAAAATCAAGAGTTGGACCCTGCCAGTTTTTTTTTGGCTTTGGAAAATGATAGTGAAACAACTAAAAATTGGTGATGTTCATTGATTTTCAGGGTCTTATGTTAATTTACCGGGGGGTGTATATATATATATATATTACATATGAATTATGTCTGCATATTTTGTGTCAATGTGTATTTAAAAATACAGTAAATGTGTTTTTGATTTACGTCCTGTTTTTTTTGGTGAGCATATTTGCGTCCTGTGTTGTCATATATTGTACCCAGTGTACCCTCTGGTCACCTAGCTTGCCAATGGAAAGAACATGATCCAGTGGTAGATTATGTACCCTCTGATTTTTTAATGTAGCTATAGAAAATCACCATTTTTAATACTGTAGGGAAACCATCTATAAATGAGCCATTTTCCATGGCTACGAAGTATGTTAAATGACCAGAGGGTATCCATGAATATATTGCATCTTAGATGACTGGACGGTTGGCCCCAAAATGACGCCCCTTTTTTTCAAGCAGTCAGCCATTGACAGACTGGCTGACTGGCTTGGGTTTGTCCGGGGACCATCAAACATTATTTGTTTTCATATATGTTTCCATCAAAAGAAGTTGAATGGTCAACTTTGATTCCTTCTGTTTGAAACATGTCCCAAAAGGTTGTTTACTTACTGTAATTATCCATTTATCCATACACTTACACTCACTTGTTTGTTTGATTTTGTTTGTCCATTGATCCATGTTATGATGTTGCATCAAATTTGCCATACCATTTCAAAACCGGTTCATATTTGCTTCATACTATTTCACCTATTTTCAGTAGGTCCCCTCCAATTAGGCCTTTTTTCCGGGCGAGTTCCTGCGAGGTGGAAGAGTTCAGTAGGAAGAGTTACTTCGACCTGTGAGCACTGCGGAATAAAAAATGATGGAAGATCACCCTGCAGGTTGAGACATGGAGGTTTCTTAAATGGGTGATCCCAAAACCAGGGCTTTCAATTTCTTGTTTTTTTTAATTGTTGGACGATTTCGGGGTATACCTCATAAGAAGCGTCCATATCATGGGGATAGACTATATATAATGGAATATAATGGGGCATTGAACCAACAATCACTTGGGAATAGGTCAAAAGCTATGGAACCCACTGCCCGTTTGCAGCATGGAATCCATGGCAAATGGATCGTTGGATCGCCACCTGTGGATCGTTCCTAGAGAACGGCTGCCACAGACAAGTTTGATCATTGGCGATCTGCCTGAGTTTCTCATCAGCTTTGTGGAACCACATTCCCGTCTTGAACATAGCAACCCCAAGAAGAATCCTGACAAGATAGAAAAGCAAAACTCTACTAACATAGTGGTAAATCATGTGTTTATCTTTTTGGTGGGTTACTATTTATTACACTATTGAATCGATTGTGGATCTTCGCCCCCAAACGGCATGACTCTGGCTACAAACCTATCCTCTGGTCATCCTAGGCTGGTGAGATTCACGTATTGTCGTCATTGACTAGTTATCATCGTAACAATAGAAATAGCAATAAGAACAAGAATGATACCCTCCAGTAAAAAAAAACGTGGCTAGCTGCGAAATCCCCGAGCTAAATGTTGCTTTAGTGGGAACATCAATAATTCACTGGTAGATTTTCCAGTATACCACGTTAAGATTACCGGAAGGGTAGTAATAATCTTCATCAAACATCATCGGATGCAGCGGTCCATTGGCTGTCCAGTCCATGCGGTGCCCAGATCCTGAGGCATTTGACCCAATTGGACGCGTGTCCAGGTTCTGCCGCTTGGCGATGTGTGATGTGTATTGGAATGGATTTCTGGTTGGTGGTGACTGGAACCATGGAATTTTAGGACTTTCCATTCAGTTGGGAATGTCATCATCCCAACTGACTTTCATATTTTTCAGAGGGGTAGGTCGACCACCAACCAGATTTGAATGATCCAAATCCGTGGAAATGAAGCCCAAACCTAGAAGTTGCTAAAGTTGCATAAAGTTGCATAAAGGTTCCAAAATAGTAGGCGGACAGAAATCGAGGATGCAATACAGCATTATTGGTAGGAACTCGCCATAGCAAGCTGTGACCGGGACGTGCTGAGGAAATGTGCTTTCCCGGGCTGATCAATGACATCAAGCTCCGTTTGACCTTGTCATCCTTGCCACCAGGCGCTGGTTCAGGGGGAAACCCCGACAGCCCAGTGTGCGATGGTGGGTCAGAATCAGTTCTGGAAACGCCTAGTTTTGCTTCTTGTCGTTTTCAAGAATTGTTTGCAATATTATTCTTTCATGACTTCCTAGCATCACATCACATATGATTGTCCATGTTCCCTCGCACGGATGTTGGAATGTTTCCCACAATTATTTGAAGGCTATGTCTACATGATTGGATGGGTACTTACTTGTATGTGCAATTGTCAAAACACGGGCGGGCTGTTCCCTCCCACACGTTCACGGATCATCATCAAGTGTAGTCCATTGGTCTGGTTGAAACAAAGAATCTATCTCATGTGACGTAACTGGAATGATGGGATATCATGGATATCATGGATATCATGGATATGTTTATTATCATGTTAGACATGGACTATCATGGGACTATCATGGATTAATATCAACATATCCATGATAATCCATAGTGCATCATCATAATAATTAGTTGATCGTAAAAATCCCCAATCATCATTATATATCATCATGGATTATTATACCCTCTGGTAAACAAACATAGCTATTGAAAATGGCCCAGTCGAAATAGTTGGTTTAGCCATTAAAATTGTGATTTTCCATCGTTTTTTTGTAGGTTTACCAGAGGGTAATGTTCTTTGGGGATTCGAAAAGTCATCACCGCTGGCCAAAGTCTTCACCAGGCGTGGAGTTACCACACCTGAGTTCCAAGGCATTGAAGGCGAACTCCCCTTGGGGGACTCTGGCAGAATTGGAAAATCAGATGTTGTCATAGGTTAAATGAGGAATCAAATGGGGAAAATATGGGGAAATGATATCACAATGGAGGTTTGAATGCGTTTTAATGGGAAAATCACCTATCAACCGGGATATGTCCATTGCCATGCTTCATTGCCAGAGGGTGATTGGGATATGGATGCGCCTCAAAATAAAGCATTTAAGCATCAACAAATGCGGTTTTTAGTGTGGATATTATCGCGACATAATGGGATATACAACCACCATCAAGAGTAGTTGGGTGTGTCTAAAAGGTGGATTCTACCCCCAATTTATTGGACACTAATAAAAAATCAGCAGATTTAGGAGTACCCTATTTTTATATGTTTTTTGTTTTAATATATACGTTCATCAAATTTCAGACAACCATAGACAACCCCATATAATGTGATATAACTATATATAACTGTATAATACCTTATAACTTTGTAACTGTATAACCGTCAAGACTTGGAATTGGAATCATACCTTTCCGGTAATTAGGGTTATGATAAATCTTTATCTGGGGTTGTAGTTGTTGATTCTATGATATCCCAACTGCCAAGAGACCCTGCAAGGAGGTTAGCCTGTGATGCCAAAACGGAAACGGAGAAGTCACAAAGACCTCATGATGTCAATGAGTTGTATCAGGGTATGTTCTGTACATAATTCCATATATTTACTTATTTGATCTTAGTTGCATCCCATATAATTAATCATCTCGTCTCCAGTTCTCCCATTGGATGCGAAATATCCCCATTATTCGCGTCCGATGATCCCTTGAACCAGGCGTTCGACCCGGCCTTCAATGGACTTGTTGGGCAAAACTGCGCTGTGAAGAGGAGCGGGGCTTCGTGGGGTGGACGGGCCGTCGGCCCCATCCGACCTCTCACTATCTCTCACTTCACTGTTCTTCGTGACGAAAGTTTGTCTCAAACTCTTTGCATCAACTGGTCATGATGTGTTCCGCTGCCTCATTTTGATCAACTGCAAGTCTCGTACTGCTTTGAGTGTGTCATTGGCCACTTTATTGCGCCCCAGCACACCCCAGGACATGCCAGGGATGTCAACATGAGTTTCCTCTCCGTACCATATGATGGCTGTCCACAGTTCCAAGGGGTTGGAGAAGCCTGTATAAATATATGATTGTAAATGTAGTACATGCTGCATGCATCCATCCATCCATCCATGCATGCATACATACCATGCCATTACATTACAGTACAGTACAGTACATACAATTGGGGTGATCTCCACAAGTGGGTCGTTGAAACCACCGCAGCGGATGCTGCCAGGTTGATGAAATCACCTGGCTACGTGCGCGTCCGGAAGAAGGGGTTCCACCGCCACTGGGGCAAAGTTGGCATGGCTTGTACCAGTCAGTGGGTAGTGGCTGTTTGGTACCTATGGCTAGTTACCTAATTATAGTCAATGGGAATTTCAAGATCCTAATTATAGTCATAGGCCTTACATAGGTTATATGGTAGGTACCTCCAATTTAGGTTCCTAAAATGGCCATTGATATAGGGGTATCCACCGATCCACTTGGACTCGAGTTGTACCTTTGTCCTTCAGACTTCAGGTCCTGGCGTCCCATTGGTTCTACTGATGACCGGACCCTCGGGAACAGGCGGCGGCGGGGCGCAGGGGCAACCTGCTGATCTCAGGCTGCGAGTTGCCTCTCGCACGGAAGTTCCGTTGGTTTTCGAAAAGCCTGCCTTTTTCATGTGGGTCACCCAGACGCTGGTAGGCAAGACTATGGCGGCCCGAAAGATTGCAGAATACATCCATGGTCGTCCCTTTAAGGACCGCCGTGAGGATTCGAGGACATTCTCTTTTTGTAGCTCCAGAACGATGGAAAGCAACATCCCATTTTGGGGCTTACTATAGTATTATGGGATAGATATAAAAAAATACTATAGTATGATAAATTTCCCCATTTGGGAAAGCCCCATTTTTAATACTAGTGATAAATCGCGGATGTATTGTTTGGGGCTTACTATAATAAGTTACTATGCTGCCTAGTGCTTATGTGTATTAATCATTGCCTACCCTCTGATAGATTCACATATATACGGACATTAGTTGTTTCCCTCGGAGCATCATATTGAAATGGTGGGGGCACAGGAGCTTGAAGCAACAGGCCGCTTCAAATTGTTCCCAATGCCTCCTGGCTGAAGCTTTCAGATGTTTCATGCCACGGCCATGGCAATGTGACAGGATTGCAATAAACATAATACCTTCTGGTTATTTAACATAGCTATTGAAAATCACCATTTTTAATAGGTAAACCATCTATAAATGGGCCATCTATACCATGGCTATGTTAAATAACCAAACGGTATGCCGTGGTTCCCCGTGGTTCATGTCAAGTTCATGCTTCATGCACGGAGGGAGCTTGTGGCCTTGACGTAGTCGTGTTTTTACCAGATGAAATCGCTGTGTCGCCCAGGAACCAATTTAGATGCTTGGCTTGTCGGGAGGGAAGGATGGGTTCCTTGCTGAGAACTTCTGACCTTTTTTGTGACCGATTCTGAGCAGTGCTGAGGAATGGAAGAGGACCTGCAACTGGGCGGAATTTCCAAAGCTATGTGGTAAAGCCAATAGTATGTAAAACAACCCCAAGACAAGTTGAGAATAAGCTTATTATTGGCTAATTTTATGTAATTTTAAGGGATATGTTGGGTAATAATTAAACCCATATTTGGGATGATGCTTAGTCAATGGGATGGCTCGGCTGCACATCAGGTGGCACATACCACCAGAAGCCTCGGGGATCCTCTGGGTGCCATGAATTGGCCCCAGGTGAAAGTACCGTAGGTTGTATTTACCTTATCAAAATTACCCTCTGGTTATGACTAACAGTTCGCCATGGAAAGATCCACCATTTTATAGCTAGGTAAACCATCTATACCATCTCTTTATGTCAAAATAGCTATTGAGAGTGGCTATTTACAGTGAGTTTTTTCATTAAAAATGGTGATTTCCCATAGCTATGTTAAATTACCAGAGGGTATAGACTTGGGGGACCACAGATGGCTTTGTCTATTTTTAGTATTAACCTGCACCAATTATTGGGCTACCCAATGTTCACCTGTACCCAAAACATATTTTGTTTAAGCCTTGTTTTCTAAACTGGCCAAAGTTTGGAGACCTTTGGATTTAACTTTGGAGTTTCCAAGTTTCTTTGCTCCCGTCGGCTCCATCAAGTTCCATCATCTCGTCTCAGGAAGACCTTCTTCGGACCCCCTCGAGGAATCCAGGGCACTGGTGATCTACCTGAGTTGGTCAAAGCCAATCCAGATGCGGCCGCTCGGTGGGCGATGACCACATGGTGTTTTACCAGCAAAAATGGCGACTGAATGAGATTTTTTTTGGGAAATAGATAGCTAAGGCAGCTAAGTTGTTGAGCATAACTGCAATTTCACTCATTTCACTATGGTTTATGATACTTGTAACATCTTGGAACTTGGAACTGTAACTATAGTATACAGTATACTATAGTGAGTGGGGTTTGAAAACCAATTTATAGCTGGGGAGGCCCGCATTGGTCTGGATGCCGAAGTACCCGGTAGCAGACTACAGACTGGTACCCAACTCATGAGAAACCTTGATGGATATTCTATAGAATGGGCTAGCGCCCGGGTGCCGCCGACCCCCCTTCTGGGGGGTTGGGCTGAAGGTAGTTGGTGCGGTGCATGTTTGATTGATGATGATGAGGATGATGGTGATGATCATGATGATCATGCTGATGAAAAGGATGATGATGATGATGGTGATGATGATGACGATGACGATGATGATGATGATGATGACGATGACGATGACGATGATGATGATGATGATGATGCTGATGATCATGATGGTGAGGTCCATGATGAGGTTGAGGATGCGGATGCGGATGAGGATGATGATGATGATGATGGTGATGGTGATGGTGATGGTGATGGTGAGGTTCATGATGGTGATGATGATGATGATGATGACGATGATGATGGCGATGAGGATGATGATCATGAGGATGAGGATGAGGATGACCATGTGGATTTGAGGCCGTGTAGACAATTGTCATGCCCCCAAATCTTTCCTTCCCATGTTTGTAGCCAAAACGGGAACAGTGCCATCTCAGACATGGATCGTGTGAGATCCCGAACTTACATGTCATTGTCATCCGTTTTGACAAGAGGCAGGCCGATGTGGCAGCTGAGCAATTCAATGAGCTCATCATCAGGGGTCTCCATGGCTCATTTCAGCCCCAGTTAGTCTGTTTGATCATGTTGTCTTAGATCAAGAAGATATATAATAGTATATAATATCATATAATACAATATAATCCCTTCCTCCTAATACTAAACGTCCCCCTAATACTAAAAACAGGCATCCATCTCCAATTTCCGAAAATTTCAGTTTGGCCAATTTGACTTTTAATTGATCCCCTTTAAAAAACAATTTAAAAATCAACCTACCATTTGTGGGTTCTCCCCCCTAATACTAAAAACTAGTTCACCCCGGGGTGTTTAGTATTAGGGGGGCCTAGTCCCAATCCCTCACTCCAAGCTGCCTAGCTACTCTAGCAATTAGGGGTAAGCTTCTAACTGCCATTTTTGGCAATATTTTAATTGCGCTATATAAGGAAATTTAATTGATTTTGAGATCGGAAAAAATAGTTTTTAGTATTAAGGGTTTTAATTTAGTATTAGGGGTAAGCTTCGAACTGCCATTTTTGGCAATATTTTAATTGCGTTATATAAAGAAATTTAATTGATTTTGAGATCGGAAAAAATAGTTTTTAGTATTAAGGGTTTTAATTTAGTATTAGGGGTAAGCTTCGAACTGCCATTTTTGGCAATATTTTAATTGCGTTATATAAGGAAATTTAATTGATTTTGAGATCGGAAAAAATAGTTTTTAGCATTAAGGGTTTTAATTTAGTATTAGGGGTAAGCTTCGAACTGCCATTTTTGGCAATATTTTAATTGCGTTATATAAGGAAATTTAATTGATTTTGAGATCGGAAAAAATAGTTTTTAGCATTAAGGGTTTTAATTTAGTATTAGGGGTAAGCTTCGAACTGCCATTTTTGGCAATATTTTAATTGCGTTATATAAGGAAATTTAATTAATTAATAAACATGACTTCGATTTGGTTCCCTAATAATAAATACCCCCCTAATACTAAAAACTACCTGCCGTGTTTTGTATTAGGGGGGGGGTTTAGTATTAGGATGAAGGGATTAATATACTAAAACATAATATAACATAATGTAATATAATATAAACAATATAAAATAAAATAGGTGACACATATAGGCATCCTCTTGATATCTCTTGATGCCGTTTGACCCATTGCACATCCAGCATGACACGCCCGCTGGAAAACCATGCAAGAAAACGAAATGGCACGTGCCAGACCTGAAAGCAGTGAATCACAGGCTCTTGTTATCTCTGCTGTACGTGTAGCTACTTGTAGCTGTGAGAGTTGCTTTGGAAACGCCCCCAGAAGGGTTCGAAGCGTGTGAGGAAAGCTAACGGAAGGCTTGAACGCCCTGAAAAACAGATGACTGGAGCCTGTAGCTGGGAAAGTTGCCTTAGAAAGGCTTGCGGAAGGGCTGGAAGCATTTGTGAAGGCCAAGCAAACGGCAGGCGTGAACGCCGTTAAAAACAGATGGCTGGGGCCTGTAGCTGGGAGAGTTGCCTTGGCAAGGCCTGCGGGAGCATTTGAGGGCGGGCAAATGGCAGGCTTGAACGCCCTTAAAAACAGATGGCTGGGGCCGCCTGTAGCTGGGAGAGTTGCCTTGGCAAGGCCTCAGAAGCATTTGAGGGCGGGCAAATGGCAGGCTTGAACGCCCTTAAAAACAGATGGCTGGGGCCTGTAGCTGGGAGAGTTGCCTTGGCAAGGCCTCGGAAGCATTTGTGGGCGGGCAAACAGGAGGCTTGAACACCCTTAAAAACAGATGGCTCGGGCCTGTAGCTGGGAGAGTTGCCTTGGCGAGGCCTGCGGGAGCATTTGTGGGCGGGCAAACGGCAGGCTTGAACGCCATGAAAAACAGATGGCTGGGGCCTGTAGCTGGGAGAGTTGCCTTGGCACAAGGCCTGCAGAAGCATTTGTGGGCGGGCAAACGGCAGGCTTGAACGCCATGAAAAACAGATGGCTGGGGCCTGTAGCTGCGTGAGTTGCCTTGGCACAAGGCCTGCGGAAGCATTTGGGGACGGGCAAACGGCAGCCTTGAACGCCTTTAAAAACAGATGGCGGCAGGCTTGAACGCCGTGAAAAACAGATGGTCGGGGAAATGCACATCCAGCATGACACGCCCGCTGGAAAACCATGCAAGAAAACGAAATGGCACGTGCCAGACCTGAAAGCCCAGGAGAATCTAGTGAATCACAGGCTCTTGTTATCTCTGCTGTACGTCTAGCTACTTGTAGCTGTGAGAGTTGCTTTGGAAACGCCCCCGGAAGGGTTCGAAGCGTGTGGGGAAAGCTAACGGAAGGCTTGAACTCCCTGAAAACAGATGGCTGGAGCCTGTAGCTGGGAAAGTTGCCTCAGAAAGGCTTGCGGAAAGGTTGGAAGCATTTGAAGGCCAAGCAAACGGCAGGCGTGGACGCCGTTAAAAACAGATGGCTGGGGCCTGTAGCTGCGAGAGTTGCCTTGGCAAGGCCTGCGGGAGCATTTGAGGGCGGGCAAATGGCAGGCTTGACGCCCTTAAAAACAGATGGCTGGGGCCTGTAGCTGGGAGAGTTGCCTTGGCAAGGCCTGCAGAAGCATTTGGGGGCGGGCAAACGGCAGCAAGGCCTGCAGAAGCATTTGCGGGCGGGCAAACGGCAGGCTTGAACGCCGTGAAAAACAGATGGCTGGGGTCTGTAGCTGGGGGCCATGGACGCAAACGGCGACTTCAAAACAGGCTCCACACCTGCGGTGGTCCCAGGCGCCGCCCCTGCCTTGGCGAAGGCCGGGGTCGGCGGATATAATGCATTCATGGGGATTCAAACCCAACCAGCTACTGTAAAGATGTATTTTATGCAATAGCTCTGGTATCTAAGATCATGTTTGTTGGGTGAATGTTCATGATTCCCATGATATCTCCATCATCATTAGCATAATATTAGCATAACATTCCCATGATCATCATCATCATCATTAGTAATTATTCCACTAGGTCCACAACTATCAGTAATCCTTTGGTAAGCTAACATAGCTATAGAAGATGGTCATAGAAATAGTGGATTTACCCATGAAACATTATGTTTTTCCAGTTCGCTATCTTAGTTTATCAGAGGGTATCCCTTTGCAAAACTGCAGATCTCAGCCCTAGATCTGAGGTCATCGTCCTAGATGAAATCGAGAAAGCGCATCGCAGCTTCGCGCGAGCTCTGCTGACGGTCTTTGGTGAATATGGCAGCTGAGATGATCGGGATTTTGTGTTCGAAATCCTGGGGCCGTTTTTGAAATCTACATCTTTTTCAGTGTCTAAAGGTGTAGGATTTAAAAATTTAAAGCGGCAGGCGGGATAGAATGAGAATATAAGGGGTACATAATGGATTTATACAATGATATGCTAACCGACTGATATTTAGATGTGTCCAAAAATGCGGGATCGACCCCCTATAAAAATGGTTATATTTTACGAGAGAAATGATGATACACCGGTGGTTTTGGGGCATATTCAGACACATAATAATGTGATGGAAATTATTCATCCATATCGGGATTGTGGATGAGCAATTCCAATGTATCCCAATATATGATCATCAATATTATCCAGTATTTGCGAGGGGAATGAAAATTGTGGATGGTTTTCACATTTTTCACCTCAGCAGACACTTGATGAGTTTTGTAAGTCTCATGTAAATCCAGTAGTTTCAGAAGTCCCAGGGCCTCCAGGGGTCCTGGTGAGCATCGGCAAAGCATCGGCAAGGCACGGTGTACGATCCTAAAAGTGGAAGAGACTACCAGGCCTCTAACGTTCCTTGACAGCAAGGCCATAGCTGCCATAGCCACTGGTTCTGGATGAACTGGATGGTCCTGGTACGCTTGGATGTTATGAATGGAACTGGGTGGCTCCTCACAGAAATTGATTCCAGACTGGCTCTAAGATGTGACATGCGATCTGAAAAATGATGGGTCATTCTGTCATCCTTTTGCCCAACGTGGCCATTGAACTGCTGCTTTTCCCCTGGGGTGAACGGAGGGCCATCGGTCCGTTGCTGAGATTACCTTCGTGCTCACCAGCAATCTCGCGAAGGATCTGGTCATCAAGCACCCTTTGGCTGTGCCTGGGGAGAATGAGACGGCCGTATCTGAATGATACTTTGAATACAATTTGACAATGTAAATGATGTAATATGTTAATACCTATGTGGATGCATGGGTTACATTTATACATTTGTTTTTGCTATAGTTTATATTTGGAATTTTATTAAACAAATTGATGTGTTATCACAAGCTAATGCTGCTAATTAACATGTGATTAATGTGTTCCCTAATATGTGATATGTTTGAACGATCTTCCAACTGAAAAAACTCCTTGAGTTCTCTATTCATCCCCAATTTTGCAGCTTTTGCCTGGAAAGCTCCCTCCCAGGTGGCGAAAACCATGGGCCGATCCCTTGAAAACCACCAGCAGTTGCCGAAGGGAGTCGATGTGGATCCCGATTGTGTAGCCTATGCGGCCTGGCGTCAACACCTGGATCCGGTTGGTTGCTGGAAAATCGCCATAAAAAGACCTGTGAACGTGAGAACATCACGAACATCATAATATGAACATGTTTGGGATACCAGGGATACCACTACTGTATCGAACTTGAAAACAAATTGATGTTTGATTATCAACATATCATTAACATATTGTTTACATGTTGTTTACATAATATGAATTGATGTTTGATATCATGTTCTCCCAAAGATTCCCCGATGTTCGGCCAACCAACTTTGGGGCCTAGGCCGAGCTCCGAGACGCCGTTGATGAAGAGATCAGTCATGCCAAGGTGGGGCGATGTTTTTCGGACGCCAGAGATGTTGATGATTTCAGACGATTTCAGACATGTTCAGCGACGTTCAGATGTTTTGTTTTTTGGTTTGGTTTTGGTAAAACGATGAACATCTATCATGAATATTGAATTGAAGCATCTAATTTGGATTCAAAGCCGGGCTGAGTTGGCAACACCTTGAAAGGACAACGCCTTCTTCCGAGAAAGTGAGATCCGTGGCCGGCTGACAGAGACTTGGGCGAAACCTGCTCAAGGTTGCAGCACCCAGGGCATCAGGTTGCGTTTAAGGTTTAGTTGTTCATGCCGAACATGTATCTTTTTCTTCCATGCCCTTGTGGTTATAATCCATGTATCTGTGCATGTGCTAGAACTTGTTTTTTTCAATTCCAAAACCATCCCCATTAAAGATCTCAAGTCTTGGTTTAGCAATCTTTAGCAAACCTGCTATTAGGAACCCCATTTTTTGGGGATCGATTTTGGCATCAAACATGCCGTAACATGGAGGCGATAGAGGTGGATTCCTATTGTTCAGCCGTAGGATACCGGGTCCTTCCACGAGCAATCAGGATACTTTGCCCTTCTTACCATTTGCCCCACATGAAGTTCAAGAAGCAGTGCGTGGTTTCCTCACGGCAGAAGCAGAGGCTGCAGTGCCAGATAGTGCCAGGGATGGCAACATTAGCTCTTCCATTCTCAACTGTGTCACGCGTGGGATTCCGAAAATCAAGTGCGGCGTGTCTCAGAAATAGTATCTCCATATATTGGAGGGGCCCTTGGACAACTATTTTTTACATGTTTACGAGAGCCTTCATTAGTTGATTAGCGGCCCCCCAATCCATGTACCTCCCATTTGTGGATCCTAAAGACTAGGGGAAGTCCTGTTGCTCCGCTAGGCCTTCAGGGAGTCCTTAGAGCTCACTTGGACGGAGGAGGTGGTGGACTTTTTCGCTAAGCTCTACGTGCGCAAGCCGGATGAAGGCGCTGGACATGGATTTTGTGTCACCAGAAGGCAAAATACAACATAAATGTCAAATAATGCGAAAATGTTGGTGTAAGACCGTACTTGGTGACTTTAAAAGATCATGAGAATACGAGATTCTATGTCCAAATCTATTGATATATCATGATATATCCATCATTCAAAATAGCAAACCAGTCAACAAAAGTGGGAGATTCATTGCCAAAGAAGGCCCCGCATTTGCTGGGGTAAATTGTCGCCATTGAGGCCTTCGGGCCGTCAACAAGCAGCTGCAATTGCAGGCGGAGAAGGGTAGGTGGAACATGTTCTCACCCTATGGGCTCTCTTGAACTGCTCTTAGACTGACATTGGTAGATCTTTTCGACAACACTTTGAAATAAGATGTTGACTATATTTCATTTAGTACCAAAAGATACATTTACACTCAGATAGCATGTTTAAATGACACCGCACAACTTCAAAGAATGAATCCACTACTTCAGGGTGCAGAAACCCACGAATTTTTGTGGCTTAGATCTCACCCCAATTTTTCAGGATTCTATGGTTACATCATGGTATATCCCTATGGATGTTAGTGGTTATAAATGGTGATTAATAGTGATGAATGATGATGAATGGTACTTGTAATGATTAATGATCTGGTTGGTGGTGACTGGAACCATGGAATTTTGAATGACTTTCCAGAAACAGTTGGGAATTTCATAATCCCAACTGACGAACTCCATCATTTTTCAGAGGGCTAGGTTGAAACCACCAACCAGCTATATCCATTTTTTCTAACCCAACGTATGGAGGTAACCAGCTAACCCCAACTGCCTATGATGCACCGCAGGTCCGGGACCTTCTGGAAGGCGCTCTCTTCGTTGGTTTAGTGCCGCCCGGTGCCCGGGTAGTGCTACGGATGGCGCTGCCAACGGAGCAGCTCAAGGGGGCAGCAACTTTGGACCTGCGAGTGGTGCCCAAGGAACTACCCGGGCGATTTTTGAATTTTCAGTGGATCTGATCATTCTTTTCCTTTTTGTATGAAACTAATTGTATTATACATGTAATATTATACCTTTATATTAATATATATATATAGGCTTACATGTAATATTATACCTTTATATTACTATAATGTACTATATATAGGCTTTTGTCACTGGAAATTTCAGTGAAATGACTTGCGGAAATTGCATCCACTTCGTGGCATTCCGTATTCTAGTTTTATTTGTTGTTTTGCCCCTAAGCGGGAAAACCACTGGTAAAGATAAGCCTTTGGTAATTTGTTGGCTTTGGTAATGCCCATTTAGAGATGATTTTGGCGATTTTCCACAGCCATAGCAGTCTACCAGAGGCTCCCTGCTTGAAACCTCTATATGATAGAGACTTATGAAGACTCAGTCTGCGAGTGTAGTAAACGTGATCTCGGGATTTAACGTTAAAAAATGGCAGTCTTGCGCTTGTGGATCAGCCGCAATACCGCTGAACATACCAAAATGAAGAGAGAAAAAGAGGTCTTGGTATATTCACCAAATGTTAGTAACGCAACAAAAAAACACCCATATATACCCTCTGGTAAACTAACATAGCTATGGAAAATCATCATTTTAAATGGGAAAATCCACTATAAATGGCAATTGTCAATAGTTATGTTAGTTTACCAGAGGGTACTACATGCTGATGCTTTGTCACCTATTTATGGTAAAAGTTGGGGATGGTGGATCCTATTGCTTCACTTAAACATCCGCTGCCACAGGAGCCGAGGGCCACGGCGGCCACGGCGGCCACGCTGCTCCAAAGCGCCCCTGAGAAGACGCCCGTGACGGTCGGTGGACAGGTGCAACAGGACCGGAAGACCTGCGACCACTCGATGTGAGCTGTTCGGATGAATTTTCGACTGGACCGTTTATCTATTATGTTTTTGATAAGTTTGAGATGAGAAAAAAAACCGTTCTTCTGAAACATCTGAATTAAATCCTCAATTATTTACAGTCATGATTCATGATTTATTTCATGGGATGGTCATGTTACCAGAAAAGGGTAATGGAATCTAGTGGGATTAAACCCAGGAAACCATGGTTAAGCAGTTCCCGCTTCAGAATCCGCGATGATGTGCGGAAGGGGATGGCCATGTGATGATCAAGATGGGTTCCTGTTTCCACTCTTTGAATATCACACGTCCTGGACGACCCATCTCAGATTCTCACAAGATTTCTAAAGATGCCCAGTGGTATGAACCCAGTGGATGCATATCCGTTGGCTTGGGCAAACTTGTGGATCTTGTCGCAGCAACATCCCGGGTCCCGGCTCTGGTTTCACTTCTGGCAGGAAGCGGATGGCACGTTCTTTTCACTGCTATCGGACGCCTTTGCAAATCTGGGCTCGTCTTTCGATACCGCCTCGCCCACGAGAACGTTGCTGGGGCCAAATTGATCCAAATTGCTGCCGCTGAGTCTTTGACTGGCTCCATGACACCTTTCTCATAGCCTCTCTTCATGTGAAACTGAAATGAACTGAAGGGGTAGAAGATATTATCACTCCAAAAGCATTTGATGGAAACTACCGTCGCATTTTCTCCGGCTCTTGCTCATTCTAAGACATTGCGGTCCCTCTTAGAAGAGGACTTGAGTCTCTTAGAGGTAGTGTTTCCAACTCCGGATCCACAGCCATTTGTCTCCGTGTTTCCTCCGGTTGTGAAGCGCCGAAGGCCCTCCGAAGCGGGATCCGGATGGGAAAGGCTACAGGACTGGGAGTGGCAGAGCGACGTGGAGTGGCTCAGCAGCTGGGAATGGCAAGAACTCTGGGAACATTTGCTCCTGCTTCGTGGCTTGAACTAAAAGTTGAGCACAGAGCTCTCTTCAAGAAAGTGTTGCAAGGATGCAAATGTTCAATAAGTTGTAAGGATATGTAAGGATTTCTCATTTGCTTCTTGGCTAAGTTTAGACGAACCCCCAAACTCACTCAAAAGAAAGGATTTGGTTTCCACATTATACATATATATATATATCACACACATATCACACATATATAAATATATATCACATAAAAATTATATGTGTGCTATAATATGTATGTATATGATTGTATATGTCCCATTGTTTCTTCTCTGCGAAAAAGCCGCAGGCAAGGGTCAAACATATCGCTAACTATGGTTAACTATGGTTAACTATATCCCATAGCTAACTTAAATATTAATATAGCTCTACACTCCATAAAATCGTCCAGGAACCCCATGAATTCTAAGGGGTGCATCCCACTTAGCAAATGGCTTATACCCCCAGCTATGGTATTATGGAATATCACCACTTCGAGATGGGATGGGTTATACATGCATATACATGCGTTACAAACCACGGATCCGAATCGTAGGGCTCACATCCAAGTACGGGATCAATATAGTTCGTTTAATCCCCAAAGAATCATTCAGTAATAAACATTTAACGAGAATCCATCAATTCCATGAATTATGGGTAAATATACATATTATACATGGTGATAATTTTATCAGATGATAGATATGATAGTAAAAAAGAAGCCCATGGAATTTCCGGGAGGTTCCTCTGGAAGTGGCGCTTTCCCCTGGCCATCACCGCCCTGTGCCTCTTCGCCGCCGTCTCCGCCGGCACTGTGGCGCCCGCGGTGGCACCGGCCGTGGCGCCGGCCGTGGCCACGGCGGCGCCCACGGCAGCGGGGGCCACAGCCATGGCGGTGGCGGCGTGGGCCACGGCCTTGGTGCAGGTGGCAGGGAGTTCAGCTTCGGTGGCAGTTCCCGCCTTGACCTTCTTCTATGCTTGGAAGCATCTGGGCGCCATTTCCATCCATTTCCTGGGATGGTGAGGCTGCTGGATAAGTCAGGACATGATGCATTGCTAAATGTCGGGGTATGGTTGAAGCAAGCATTTGGCAGTTCATCAGTTGCATAAATGTCATACACGGATGTCATAGATTGCGGAGGTGATTATATCCTGCTTGTGCCCCTCATGCCACGTAAGACATTGAATCCTGTTGGGGAGAATCGCATCGGGTCAGAAGATGAGATAGGGAGGTGCATTTTGCTTATGTGATTTTGCCAAGTTATACATAATGCTTGACAATAGCATTGGAAAGTAATGTGGTAAACCTAATGGTAGACCATCCTCAGCAACACCATAAACGGGAGCTATAGACCATAGGTTTAGCACATTCCAGGGTTTAGTTTGCGTGGTGGGTGATCCAACTAAGGAACAAGCATTACATTGAAGCCGCCACTTGGCCGGGCAAGTTTTGCGCTGATCGGAGCCTTCTCCGGAATTCCAACTGATGTATTTCTGTTTGCCAGGGGATGACTTGTGTTTCCTTTGTTTGCTGATCATTTTTGAAAATGCACTGCAGGGACTGGAAGAATTCGGGCAATGGTCAAACAAGCTGGGCGCTGTTTGTTGTGTTCCAATGGGGGTCTACCCGGTATACTCATGACGACCCAATGATACCCATGATGCCAAGACTTTCTGAAGGCACCCTCTCGATGTTGCCCACAGGATGGTGCCCCCCAGTTATAAGTTGGTTTATAAACCCCATTAACTATAGTTATATCTGCCATAAACCATAGTTATTGGAGTTATAAACCAACTTACCTCACTATGGGGCACCACCTTGCATGATCCAAAGGTCATTTTCGGTTCCTTCTTCGTTGCGCTCTTCCCATGGGCATTGCAGATCATCCGAAAAAGCTACGCGCTACTTCACTGGCTCGGCTCCAACAAAGGCCGGCGCCCGGGGGCCGTTTTTCGTCACCGGGAATGATGGCAGAATCAGCTCCAAAGGGCGGATTTTGATATAGGTCTGTGGATGGATAATTTATTTGGTTGGTGGTTTGGAACATTTTTATTTTTCCATATATTGGGAAGAATCATCCCAATTGACCAATATTTTTCAGAGGGATATATAGGTATACCACCAACCAGTTATCCATGATAGATGAAGTTGATTCGTAAAGCCATTAACTGTAAGAGATATCAACCATTAAACCCCAGTGAAGTATGTTTCGGAGCCGCCACTTGTCCGTCAAAGACCTCCAGCTGACAGAGGTGTCGCAGCACTGCTGCTAGACTTGCGGCAAAGACAAAGCCTGGGTACTCAATAACCAATATATCATAGTCATAGGGTATCAATTATAATAATATTGATCAATGGGGTTGGACTGCTTTGTAGATCAATATATTAATATATATATATATTATATATATGTATTATTCAGTTATGGTATATCAACTATAATAATCCAATCAGTCATAGTATATGAACTATAATATATAACATTGATTCTTCACCCTGCATGTTGCTGTCCGTATGTATGTCCAGCTATCCGCAGGCCCCATTTCGACTCGGCCGCTTCGACGGGGATCGAAGAGGGTAGGAGACAAGCAGGCCACTTGGCTGGTCACATGACGTCACCATAAGTCAGTACAAGGTGGGGCACCTAGATAGCTAACTGGGTTTATAGGGGAATAACGTAAGTGGGAACAAAAACTTAACCAACAAACTTATAACTGGTCCTCATCCCTAGATGACTTGATACTGCTGATTTTGGAGATGCAGCCACTACTGAAAGTGCCCCATAACCTGCCCCATGACCTGCCATGGCCATAGAGTCACAACTTGGCCACCAGCAAAATTGGCGTTCTTTCCATTGGAGAAGCCCATGGTTTCGCGGGCCCACGATTTTCTTGAAAGTTCAGATGCAGGGGGTACTGCTATAAATGGAAAATCAGCATCATCAGCCAATAATTCGCATTTTTTTGCTAGGACTCTCAAAGATTGACCATGGAAAATATCAGCAGCAAATGATCCTTTGCCGTAAACGACCCCCGCCACAGGCTTTGCTGATGGCACTTGAGGCTTGTTGCTCGCCGCCAGGTGTGAGAAAAGGAAGGGTGTGGCATGTCAACTCAGTTGTCAGTATTGTTGTTCTGACCCCCCCTTGGGAACTATTGGAACTTGCAAAAGCCATCTCACTTTGGAAGATTCAGTCCCTGGATATGGACAATTTGTGGGTCAACTAGATCCAACATGGAAATCTCAACTAAAAAGTGGATGTGAACCAGCCAAAATCAGGAGATCATCCACAAAAAATGGTGGATTTACCCGGGCACTGCCCGTTTGCAGGTCGCATCTTGGAGACACCGTGCCGAGCACGCGAGCTGCAAGAGGCTCCAGGGGGGATCCCTGTGAGTTTCACCAAACCCAACCTACCATAAAAAGACATCAATTGTCAATGGTGATTAAGTGACTAGTACCTGGGTTAAATATATGATAATATATGGTTAAATCTCATCATATTTCTCTTGCAAGCTCTCGCATCCCTTCAGGTTTTTAGAAAACCGTCAGCAAAAAATGAAGTAATGAATCTATTAATATCATTTAAGATCATTTAAGATCATGTAAATTCATTTAATATCATTTAATATCTATAGAATTATGGACATTCTGGTTCATTCTTTGATATTCCTTGGAGGTTCGCCTCAAGCCGTGGCTGGGACGCCCAGGAGCCGCAGCTCCCGAGCCCCCCAAGCGCCCGCACCGCGGAGCTGCGAACGGACGCGCCGAGCCCAGGGAGCGAGGCCGAAGGCGGTGAGAGCTCCATGGCGTCACCGGAAGGTGCCCAAGTTTCGAAAATCGCCGGAGGATTTTAGTATTTCAGTATTTCACAAGTGGGTAATCTCTGGGAATACTGAAAATCCAAGTGGGTAATCTCTGATCTGTGGTATTTCAGTATTTCACAAGAGATTTTAAAGGATTCTGGTTGGTTTTTAGTGGATTTTAGGATAGATCTTAACAAGGCATTACGCGTCACTCCCTCATCACTCCCGCGTCACTCCTTCGTTCCTTCCTTCCCTTTCCTTCCAAAGTTTTCGGGTGACCGCGAAATCAACCTGTCCAAATTTCAAGTCAAGTGAACGTGGATCACACCGCATGATCAGAGTGAGTATACTGTTCATGGTCAACAATTTGGGAAGAGGACAGTTTTCTAGAGTCAAACATGTCACAAAGAAAAATCATTCAATCAAAATGTGGTAGTTACATCGGGGTTTCCTAGAATGGGGGTACCCCCCAAAATGGATCAAAATAGATGGTTTATGATTGAAAAGCATGTAAAATTGATGATTTGAGGGTACCACATGGTACCACCATTTTAAGAAACCCCGGTGTTTAACCCAACTTTCAGGTCTTGGCTTCTTGGACCATGCTTGACGTAGGCGAAAGGGACGTTCCGCCATCTCCCGACGTTGCTTCGGCTGCTTCGGACGAGAACGTGGCAGTGATGTAGCTGGGCATGGCAGAATTAGGCCATGACTGTGGATGCTCACCCAATTCACTTCAACTATTCTGGACATGTTTGGAATATTCTGGAATTGTTTTGACTGAATGCTTCAAAATCCGAAAAGAACCAGACCAATTAATATGGTAAGCAATGTCAGCAATAATGTCTAAAACTTGCCCAAAAATGAAAAAACTATGATATAATGATCTTGGTCTTGTTTCACATGATCTCCTATGGTTTCCTACGGTTTCCTATAGTTTCCGGAGTCACAGGGGGTACCAAATCACCCATTTTCTATATCATCCAAGGCAGTAGATGACCTCAGAGGCGACGTGGAGCGGGGATGGATTGGTTGTCGGATGAAAGCGGAAAGCCATGGAAACCTCATGGAATTCATGATATTCATGGGAAAATCCATGGGAAAATCCGTGGTTAATATGGGTTAATTGGATGTGTATGTATATATATATATATGTATATTTATTTTTTCAACTGGCGGCACCCCATTTTTTTCCGCCTGAAATGACATGGAACTGGTCTCGTTCGCTGGGATGAGAGGGCGAAACGGCGAAAGGCTGCTGGTTGTTTAACATTGCTATGGAAGATGAGCATGATGAGCCATTTACTTCAATGATTTACAATCATTTATATATATATACCTATTCTCAAATGGCAATTTTCCATGGCGAACTGTTGAATTACCAGAAGGGTTTGTCTGAAAATATCAAAGCATCCCAAATCCATTTGGATTGTCATCATTTTCCCCATTCAAATAGCCATAACTGGGTTGTTTCTCCATTTTCACTCGGACACCTGCGATTTTCTCAGATCGTGGGACCATTGTGCAGGCGGCTTCTACCCGGTGGCTGGGTGGGGTGCAAAGGGGGCATCAGATATGGGGTGAATCCATGTGAATCCATGGGGGGTTGGGAAATGTCCGGATTTTTTCGCATCACCCAACAAATCGTCTCCAACAGCCTCCCGAATTTTGGGGCTATGTCTCATCCACCAGGTGATGTGAACAAATGGGATAATATATTTATAGGTGATGAGATCAAATCCACAGTTGAATGTCTTAATTTTAAAGATCAATCAAGTATTGGGGATTATATTTTATTATATTTATATATATATACACAGTCTCCAAGAAAGAATTGAAGGTGACTGATGTAAAAAACAATCCCTTAAAAGGGGACATGTAGCAACCCCCGATCCAGTGAGAGTTGTTTGAGCTGTTTGATCAGCTGGGGGGTTGTTTGAAAATGGTGGGAAAACTCCAAAATCCAATGGTATGCCCCATTTTCAGACAGCAGCAGACGTGATTCCGGATGATACTGGATCCTGGTGGCTAAATGTGGGCAGCAATTTTCTCTCAGCCACATGAGTCTTATGAATTTAAGAGCTGCTGAGCACATGAGTCACTGGCAGGTATGGTATCCCCCGGCAATTCGTGGTCCAAGGCCTCTGCAAAGCGGGAGAGGGTTGCGGTCCCAATGCCACCTGGACCAGAGTGTCATTACAAATCATCCTTTGATAGCTTAAGCTTGCAATGGGAAACACTGTAGAAATGGATTTGGCTGAAAATACAATATACCGATTATAACATCAACATTTTACCATGTTGGGGATGATGATGATGATGATGATAGTCCATTATAATTGGGGGTGTCCTATTTTCAGACAAACCCATATGTTGAAATATATTTTTAGATGGGAATTACCAGCTGGCAAACCAGCCAGTGCGCTCTTTTTGCACTCCCCAGGACCGCGGAAAATGCAGCTGGGCAGGGTTTGTCGCTGGCGCGACGCAGTGTGGATGTTGTGACCCAGGATGGCCCAGGCTCACAGAAGTCACTGAAGTCCATTATATATATATATACATGTGTTATATTATATATTTATAATAGAATATATGTATATATTATTATAACATATATATATATATGTACATATGTTATATTATATATTTATAATAGAATATATACATTTATATACATATATAAAAATGATCTACATGATCATACGCACACGTGATGATATATGTTTTCATATACATGCAACCATACAATACCATACATACACATAGAGACATATGATCAGAATCAAGTGATGTCACCTGGAGACGCTCAACTGGCTTGGCAACATCCAACTGCCTTAGCATTTTACTTGGCGACTGCATGCCTAGTCGCCTAGTTAGTAGACTTGTGAGGCCTGCCCTGCATGGGAAAACGGGCTGCCCTTGGGAAGTGGAGGATTTTGAGCTCTGGGATAGGAAGATGGTTCGGAAAAGGCCGGTTGGCATTTTTGCAAAGGCTGGTGATCAATAATTCAATAGAACCATGGTTCTTCGTATCCCAATAGTGATGGCCAAAATGGAATGCCTTCAACATCTTCAACCTAAACCGCGAGAGACATGAATCCGATGGATATAAGTTTCTGTTCCAAAATGTGGGGCTCTCAAACTACAACTGTCTCCAAAACAATTGAAAGTAATGATAGCCACTCATGGTCACACTCAGATCTCCCATTTACGGGCCGGGTATGGCCAAATTGGATATGTCTGAAAATAGGGCATGCCCCAGATTTGACGGTTTATCATGGTTTATCATATTTTATCATGGTTTCTCATGGTTTACCATGGTTATATCACGGTTATATCATGGATATATCATGGTTATATCATGGTTAATCATATAATGGTTATATCACTGTCATATCATGGTCATATCGTGGTCATCTCATGGTTATATAATGGTTATATCATGGTCATATCATGGTTATATCAAGGTTCTATATGGCTATGCCATGGTTATATCATGGTCATATCATGGTTATATCAAGGTTCTATATGGCTATGCCATGGTTATATCATGGTCATATCATGGTCATATCATGGTTATATATGGTTATACCATGGTCATATCATGATTATATCATGGTTTATCATGGTTTATCATGGTTATATCATGGTTATATCATGGTTTATCTTCATTTTGTTCTGATCAAAGTTGCTGTTTTTTCGTGGCAAAACCCTTTTTTCCACTCCCTTTTGGAACCCAGCGGTGCTTAGCCTCGGGTCCCAAGGCTGAGCATCATCGGGTTTGCATTGCAGCTGGGAGTTCTGCGAAGGTGCAAACGTTTGGGACCTGCAAGTGAGCTCCGTTTTTTTCAGGACAGTTCCCGATGAAACATGCACGAACTAAATGATAAATGATGATAAATAGAGGTTTAGTTCGCTGGAGTTTAGTTCGCGGAAAACATCGAAGTAATTTCGATGAGGATCTGCAGAAGGGGGTGTCTTTGGATCCTGGTTGATGATTGGCTCGGGGATTACCCAATAAATTGGGGATTATCTGGCCCCCAGATGAGATATAATTCATGGGGATATACCCTCTGGTAAATAAACATAGACCCTGAAAATCACTAATTTTTAATGGAAACTAGTCTTCCAAACCCCATCTGCCAGGGTCTATGTTAATTTACCAGAGGGTAATGGGGATATAACCAACAACTATGCTGCTTCGATTCGGATGGGATAATCTAACCCATACCCTTTAGGGTAATCCGGGCTTTGCCGAGCGGATGATGAATGGGGCGCATGTGCGCCGCTTTGGGCCTCCAGTGAAGCGTCGGCAGATGGTAAACCATCTCGTGTTTTTCGGACTGGATGGTGTTACCAGAATACACTATCATACCTGGTTGGTGGTTTGGAACATGAATTTTATGTTTCCATATATTGGGAATAATGATCCCACTTGACTTTCATATTTTTCAGAGGGGTTGAAACCACCAACCAGATACATTATTTGGATGAATTAAAATGACTTCAACGTGTCACTAGAATGATAGGAATTGATTTTTGGGGGGAGCATCCTCATAGCTGGCCGATCTATTCAGCTATTTTCAGATTACCGTGACTGTAGTGAATTACCCTCTGGTAAACTAACATAGCTATTGGAAATGGCCATTTATAGTGGATTTACCCATTAAGAATTGTGATTTTCCATAGCTATGTTAGTTTACCAGAGGGTATTGCCGATGATCATTTCGAACGAGGATCACCATTAAATGACCTTCCCATTGTGGCTGGCCGTGGCCAGCCACCGGTGACTCTCTGTGCCACTCCTTCGCAGGTGACTTCCGAGGCAAATTCCGAGTGCTGTCCTCAAGATGTGGCCATGGAACCATGGCCAGAGATTCAGCGATCCAGCGCAGGATGAAAATTGGAGGTTGAATAATATTATATATATAGTATATATATATATAGCCTATAGCTATCAGCTATGGTTAACTATGGTGATCATCATTCTGGCCGAATTATAATTAACTATAATTCATATAGGGTATATAGTAGACTCATTCCTTTTTCCCTTTCGATTTTTCTACTTCACTCTATGCTTGAGAGCTAACCATCTTTGCACGTTTGGACATTCATGTCAGATCAAATTTCTATCCAGAAACATCTTAGACGGTCCATGGCAAGACTCCATCTACCTTGTCCTCATAGCATTTAACATCAGTTAATACCAGCATCATCTTAACGATTTGGGATAGGACACAACTCGGGGATCCCTGCTATTCGTCAGCCCATGCCCGATCCTTAGGTCAGATGCAAGGGACCCACATCAGGTCTTTCGCGTGTTTTACGATGCCGCCTGCGACAAAAAGAGCTTAGTCCGAATCCTTGGAGATGATGAATGATGTCCAACTTAGTCTGGAAAGTCTGGAAAGCCTCAATGATGGGACTCCCAAGCTTCCCATTGAGGTTCGTGGTGGTTTCTTATTGTTCTTAGATTTCACCAAAGATGATGCCATGGTCAGTGGAGGCATTTTTTTTGCCAAAAGCCAGAGTCAGACGGCCTGTGCATTGGATTCGCGCGCTGTGAAACGTGACGCGAGTGCCACTCAGGTCACCTTTGAAGGTGAGTAGGAGACTCAGATTAGCCACGGTGGAAGGCATCCCTCATGTCAGAATTCCCATGAATTCCCATCATCCTTGGAATCTGTTTCATGCCAACCCCAGATTCATCGATTTTTCCGGGCTATCAACTCTTGTTGGTTGTGCCCCATCATAAATCGGATCGAATGAATCCAGGCTTCACAAATTCTATGGTTGACCCCTGCCGTTGCCACCTTGAGATTTTTATGGAACTTACTAAAGATATCTAAAGACTGGATGCTGAGTTTAAGTTCCATAAATATCCATAAGATTCCAGAAATATCCAGGAATGACATTTTAGATCCATCATTTTATGGACATCGTTGTGATAAGAATGGCGAGCCGCCATCCTAAGGCGGAAGTTTTTTTGGGACATTGGCACCGAAAAGCTCTTCCTGCCGCATACGGCGTGGGGCCACCCTAAGGTCAACCTTGGAGGTCTCAATGATGCTGATTTGGCATCCATCAATCAAATTGATTTCAAGTGGCTTTTACAACATATTTTGGGATTGGACACCATCTTCAAGTTGACATCGCAATGCAGAAGATGCACGGTCGGATGATGTCGGATGCACATCGGCATAAACAAATGAGTTCGATGAAGGCGATGCATTTATATATATAATATCGAGGTGAATTCTTTGCACGGTGTTACTACTGGTATTGAAGCTGCCCTTTTCGCGGACCCATTTTGAACTACAAACTCTAGAAAATCTAAGAACTACTCAGACTTAAAGGAATTGTCTGGGAAAATGATGCTTGATTTGGAGCACTGAAGATCTTTGCCCACATGACATATAACACGTTTCCCTAGTGTTCGTTTGTTTGGTAATGGTACCGCTAATGTTAGCAATTCAAAAGTCCCACACCGGAGTGGGCACCAACATCAAAAACATGGCATGGCCCTCCAGTTTTAACGAGAGACGCTTGTAGCATTTTGATATGTTGGCCGAAGTTGAAATCAATTTACGACCACATTTATTGAAAAAAACAGTATCCATCATTATCCATTTGTTATCACAAATTTTCATGATACCACTTTCTGATATAGCATATATTTAGCAAATTTAGCATTTATCAATGGACACATCTTGTTTTGGGAGGCCTTGAAACTGCCAACCAAGGACTGGAATTCACCTATGCCTTTGCCACTTGCTGAGATCTTGAAGCCCTTGCATTGGAAATCATGGAAGGAGTGCCCAAAGAGGAATGCATATATATATACATACATATACTCAATATATATATATGTATATAGATATTCATTCATATGTAAAGAAATATAGTATATATTGTTTATTTATATATGTATACCCTGTTCTTCTTCGATCGTCGAATTTACGTCCCAGGTAAGGACATTCATTAATTTGTACTTAGCGACCATTGATCATTTGATCAGGGATTGAAAGTGGTCGGGAAAAACCGGACAACGACGACATGAATTTCTGTCGAACGATGATGAAAATTTCCGTAGAACCCAGCCAAAAACGCTTAAGCAAATGGGGTTTTTAAAAAAGCTGCAGACTAGATTTTGAATCAATAGCAAGTTTCACAATTTGATGATTTTACCTAGTTACAGGATGTTACAGGAATCATCTCAGGATATTTCCATCCTGTTTCCAACACCAGCCTTTACCACGTTCATTTTAGGTGCGATCGGAGATCGGATGGGCTTGAGCACCTCAGGTCATGTGGTGATGTCCAAGTTAAAAACTTCACAGGCGCGTTTGTTTTTTCGGTCAAGGGAAACGTGGCTGTGATTGGCCCTGTTTATTTGTAGAAGGTGTAGAAGGCATGCCAATTTTGGTAGCTAATTCAATGAACTATCTTGGGTTGTAACCCCCGCACTTTTTTTTTGTTGAAGGCCAATTAGTTCAGGGTTGACTATGGGTTGATCATCCGTCTCAGTTCTGATCCTTGACAGGAATCTGTGAAGAAGCTCGGGCCTAAGTCCGGGACCGGGAGGCCGTGGCTTTTTGATGCTTTTTGAAACTTCTGTGGGATTCACCCAATGCCATGGTCACCATCCCCGAGGTGTATCATTCGGTGTATATGATTGTTTCATGTAGATATGTTATCACTCTATGATTACTATGATAATGATATATAATATGATATAATCTGGTTGGTGGTTTGGAACATGTGTTTTTGTGTTTTCCATAAATATATTGGGAATCATAATCCCAGCTTACTTTCATATGTTTCAGAGGGGGTGAAACCACCAACCAGGAATTGTTTTGAGTGTATAAATCATCCCCAGGTTTGGTTTATCTCCCCAAAAAAGGGATGACGACGCCATGGCCCAGGGACTTGCCTTTCTATACCTGGGTGGAGTCCAAGTGCCCAAAAGGTGCAAAGAAGGAGAGATGGGAGAGATGGATCTGGCGGGTGAAACTGAAGATAAATCCACACATCGCACACACACACAATGTATAAATTATGAATAGATAAATCTCTATATATATATACACATTAAAAAATATATAATATATATATACATACACATTATTATATATACATAATAAATATATATATATATGCACCTGATGTATACTTTCACCTGTTTTGAAAATTGCTGCTGCTTCCCATGTTTTTTCCCTTTTCCGGGCGTTCTGCCTGAAAAGTGGGCAGCCCAGGAGCTTTGCTTCAACACCATGGGCCCTGCTGATGTGTTGAACGCCGTGCATTTGGTGGATGAAGTCGTGTGAGGGTGGAATCCCACAACAAAAAATCTCCAAGGGACAAGGGAAATCTGATGAAATCTGGTCATTGAAGAGTTTGCTATGGGAAAATGGATGAAATGGCCCATATATGAGTTGGTTTATGAAATTTATGATGATTTACCTACTCAAAAGGCTGATTCTCCATACATTAAATAACCAGAGGGTAATAAAAAGACTAATCACAAATGAATTATCACGGATAATCATATTATATGAATAGATAAATGCATATTTATATATATACACATTATAATGTGTTTTTTTTTTTGCGGGGAATTTTTTGGGATCACCCCAGCACCATGAGATCACCAAGCTTGGCCACGCCAAACGATCGGTGCGCGACTCGTGGCCCAAAAGGGTCCGAGCACCGGGGTGTTTGTTTGATTGCAGAGTAATGTCAACCCTAGATTAATAAACCCCGTAAAAACGGCTGTTTAATTTGGGGGGGTACCATTAAAAAGTATCAGATGAAATGACTATTGGGGAAGTACCACCCTAATAAACTATGGCAACTATGGTTTATTAACCCGGGGTTGGCATTACAGTCAAGCCTCTTCGAAATGGTACCTCAATCTTGGCCCCTACCATCCCCTGCCCATTTTGCTAGTATAACATAGAAGCTGCCCCACTGGATCCCGCTGGTACATAATGAGGCTGTGAACTTGAGATGTTGAACAAGTTCAGTGCTTCTCTTTGGCAGACATGCTTGAGATTTCAAATCCTTGCTTGAGATTTGCATGAAGCATGAAACTACTGTGTCGAAGAATGGTTCATGCACATGAGATGACTTTGAAGCACAAAGAACCAGAATTGCAGCGACTAGTTTGCACCGAGGAAACGACAAATGGGAGCCTTGAGTTTCGGATAGTCTTGGTGATGAACAAGTACCTCATGATGCTTAGAGTTTGTTGCCATATGGCTGCCATCGTGAAAGTTTCAGCTTGTTTGCTCAAGCTCACTGAAGGCTTCAATCAGCCACCAGGCCGTCACAGTGAGTCATGCTGCTGCGCCGTTCCAGCCGAGCCGGCTTGTGGTTGGCCCTGGCCATTGCCATGGCATTCGCCTCGCCGTTCTTCTCGAACGTGACTGGTGAGAAAGGTGATGAAAGTGGTCCAGACCTTGACCTGGGAACCTGGGGGCGACATATCCATCTTGAAGGTGGAAGGAGGGATGGCATCTTGCGTCATCCTGAGCACACTTCGGACATGGCATTTTCCTTACCTTTTTCTTGGAAGGCGAAAGGCGACAAAGATGTTGCAAGTGGTCCAGAATTTGACTTGGGAACCTGGGGACGACATATCCATCTTCAAGGTGATCGGAGGACCGGCTCTCTTCCCCCATTCTGAGCACTCTTCGGATGACTGAGAAGGCTGAGCCATAGAGACCACTAGCATGGCCCCGCCACCTTTTTTATGCTGGTGGTTTTTGGGCGACTGAATTTAAGATTGATTTAAATTGATAATTAATCTGGATTGGCTCCTCTGCTTGACAACATGGCAGAAAGCTCCACAGAAAGTAGGTGCCTAGGAAGTAGTGCTACAAAGAGTTCTACCGTTTGGTTTGAATGTCCAATGGGTCAAAAGGATTTGCCTCTGGAAACGTATGGCTTGCAAATTTCCATCCACCACGGTCAAATTTGTGGTTCCTTTGGTTGGCACATTTTGACCCAACACGTTTCAAGCCACCGTGCGCAACAGCTGCACAAACCCCTCCGAAACATCAGGCCACCTTAGAAAAGGATCGCTTTGAGTTCTGTGCTGGTCAGAAGTTCAAAAAACAGTGGGACCACTGACCACGGCAAGAGGATTAGTTGCGAAGTCGTTGGTGGCAAAGCGTAACCTGTAGTCTCGTCATATTTTGTTTGTGTGCCGAGTTCATCAAGGGTTTTGGTGCTTGACATGGGAAGACAGCTGACTTGGGAATGGCATCAGCTTTTGAACTCATAGGGGCTGCCTCTGGCTTCCCCAATCAGTTGTGGTTTGGTCACACATGTTGTCTGTGAGGGACAAAGTGATTGCAACTTCTTAGAATTTGTTGCCATATGGCTGCCATCGTGAAAGTTTCAGCTTGTTTGCTCAAGCTCACTGAAGGCTTCAATCAGCCACCAGGCCGTCACAGTGAGTCATGCCGCTGCGCCGTTCCAGCCGAGCCGGCCTGTGGTTGGCCCTGGCCATTGCCATGGCATTCGCCTCGCCGTTCTTCTCGAACGTGACTGGTGAGAAAGGTGATGAAAGTGGTCCAGACCTTGACCTGGGAACCTGGGGGCGACATATCCATCTTGAAGGTGGAAGGAGGGATGGCATCTTGCGTCATCCTGAGCACACTTCGGACACGGCATTTGCTTGGCCCTTCTCCTCGAACGGTGGCAAGGCTGATGCAAGTGGTCCAGACCTTGACCTGGGAACCTGGGGGCGACATATCCATCTTGAAGCTGGAAGGAGGGATGGCATCTTGCGTCATCCTGAGCACACTTCGGACATGGCATTTTCCTTACCTTTTTCTTGGAAGGCGAAAGGCGACAAAGATGTTGCAAGTGGTCCAGAATTTGACTTGGGAACCTGGGGACGACATATCCATCTTCAAGGTGATCGGAGGACCGGCTCTCTCTTCCCCCATCTGAGCACTCTTCGGATGACTGAGAAGGCTGAGTCATAGAGACCACTAGCATGGCCCCGCCACCTTTTTTATGCTGGTGGTTTTTGGGCGACTGAATTTAAGATTGATTTGAATTGATAATTAATCTGGATTGGCTCCTCTGCTTGACAACATGGCAGAAAGCTCCACAGAAAGTAGGTGCCTATAGGAAGTAGTGCTACAAAGAGTTCTACCGTTTGGTTTGAATGTCCAATGGGTCAAAAGGATTTGCCTCTGGAAACGTATGGCTTGCAAATTTCCATCCACCACGGTCAAATTTGTGGTTCCTTTGGTTGGCACATTTTGACCCAACACGTTTCAAGCCACCGTGCGCAACAGCTGCACAAACCCCTCCGAAACATCAGGCCACCTTAGAAAAGGATCGCTTTGAGTTCTGTGCTGGTCAGAAGTTCAAAAAACAGTGGGACCACTGACCACGGCAAGAGGATTAGTTGCGAAGTCGTTGGTGGCAAAGCGTAACCTGTAGTCTCATCATTTTTTGTTTGTGTGCCGAGTTCATCAAGGGTTTTGGTGCTTGAAATGGGAAGACAGCTGACTTTTGAACGCCTAGGGGCTGCTTCTGGCTTCCCCAATCAGTTCTGGTTTGGTCACACATGTTGTCTGTGAGGGACAAAGTGATTGCAACTTCTTAGAATTTGTTGCCACATGGCTGCCATCGTGAAAGTTTCAGCTTGTTTGCTCAAGCTCACTGAAGGCTTCAATCAGCCACCAGGCCGTCACAGTGAGTCATGCCGCTGCGCCGTTCCAGCCGAGCCGGCCTGTGGTTGGCCCTGGCCATTGCCATGGCATTCGCCTCGCCGTTCTTCTCGAACGTGACTGGTGAGAAAGGTGATGAAAGTGGTCCAGACCTTGACCTGGGAACCTGGGGGCGACATATCCATCTTGAAGGTGGAAGGGGGGATGGCATCTTGCGTCATCCTGAGCACACTTCGGACACGGCATTTGCGTGGCCCTTCTCCTCGAACGGTGGCATGGCTGATGCAAGTGGTCCAGATCTTGACCTGGGAACCTGGGGGCGACATATCCATCTTGAAGCTGGAAGGAGGGATGGCATCTTGCGTCATCCTGAGCACACTTCGGACATGGCATTTTCCTTACCTTTTTCTTGGAAGGCGAAAGGCGACAAAGATGTTGCAAGTGGTCCAGAATTTGACCTGGGAACCTGGGGACGACATATCCATCTTCAAGGTGATCGGAGGACCGGATCTCTTCCCCCATTCTGAGCACTCTTCGGATGACTGAGAAGGCCGAGTCATAGAGACCACTAGCATGGCCCCGCCACCTTTTTTATGCTGGTGGTTTTTGGGCGACTGAATTTAAGATTGATTTGAATTGATAATTAATCTGGATTGGCTCCTCTGCTTGACAACATGGCAGAAAGCTCCACAGAAAGTAGGTGCCTATAGGAAGTAGTGCTACAAAGAGTTCTACCGTTTGGTTTGAATGTCCAATGGGTCAACAGGATTTGCCTCTGGAAACGTATGGCTTGCAAATTTCCATCCACCACGGTCAAATTTGTGGTTCCTTTGGTTGGCACATTTTGACCCAACACGTTTCAAGCCACCGTGCGCAACAGCTGCACAAACCCCTCCGAAACATCAGGCCACCTTAGAAAAGGATCGCTTTGAGTTCTGTGCTGGTCAGAAGTTCAAAAAACAGTGGGACCACTGACCACGGCAAGAGGATTAGTTGCGAAGTCGTTGGTGGCAAAGCGTAACCTGTAGTCTCATCATTTTTTGTTTGTGTGCCGAGTTCATCAAGGGTTTTGGTGCTTGAAATGGGAAGACAGCTGACTTTTGAACGCCTAGGGGCTGCTTCTGGCTTCCCCAATCAGTTCTGGTTTGGTCACACATGTTGTCTGTGAGGGACAAAGTGATTGCAACTTCTTAGAATTTGTTGCCACATGGCTGCCATCGTGAAAGTTTCAGCTTGTTTGCTCAAGCTCACTGAAGGCTTCAATCAGCCACCAGGCCGTCACAGTGAGTCATGCCGCTGCGCCGTTCCAGCCGAGCCGGCCTGTGGTTGGCCCTGGCCATTGCCATGGCATTCACCTCGCCGTTCTTCTCGAACGTGACTGGTGAGAAAGGTGATGAAAGTGGTCCAGACCTTGACCTGGGAACCTGGGGGCGACATATCCATCTTGAAGGTGGAAGGAGGGATGGCATCTTGCGTCATCCTGAGCACACTTCGGACACGGCATTTGCTTGGCTCTTCTCCTCGAACGGTGGCAAGGCTGATGCAAGTGGTCCAGACCTTGACCTCGGAACCTGGGGGCGACATATCCATCTTGAAGCTGGAAGGAGGGATGGCATCTTGCGTCATCCTGAGCACACTTCGGACATGGCATTTTCCTTACCTTTTTCTTGGAAGGCGAAAGGCGACAAAGATGTTGCAAGTGGTCCAGAATTTGACCTGGGAACCTGGGGACGACATATCCGTCTTCAAGGTGATCGGAGGACCGGATCTCTTCCCCCATCCTGAGCACTCTTCGGATGACTGAGAAGGCTGAGTCATAGAGACCACTAGCATGGCCCCGCCACCTTTTTTATGCTGGTGGTTTTTGGGCGACTGAATTTAAGATTGATTTGAATTGATAATTAATCTGGATTGGCTCCTCTGCTTGACAACATGGCAGAAAGCTCCACAGAAAGTAGGTGCCTATAGGAAGTAGTTCTACAAAGAGTTCTACCGTTTGGTTTGAATGTCCAATGGGTCAAAAGGATTTGCATCTGGAAATGTATGGCTTGCAAATTTCCATCCACCACGGTCAAATTTGTGGTTCCTTTGGTTGGCACATTTTGACCCAACACGTTTCAAGCCACCGTGCGCAACAGCTGCACAAACCCCTCCGAAACATCAGGCCACCTTAGAAAAGGATCGCTTTGAGTTCTGTGCTGGTCAGAAGTTCAAAACACAGTGGGACCACTGACCACGGCAAGAGGATTAGTTGCGAAGTCGTTGGTGGCAAAGCGTAACCTGTACTCTCGTCATATTTTGTTTGTGTGCCGAGTTCATCAAGGGTTTTGGTGCTTGACATGGGAAGACAGACTGGTGTTCTGTGAGCAACGGAGAACATTCCATCGGCAACTTACCAAATCAGTTCAAGTTCTGGCTTGGTCACGCAGATGCATGCATCCGCACACATTTAATTGCAAGGAGCGATGTGCGCATATTATAATCTGTGCTGACATTTTTTCATATCAGAGTCTGTGCCTATCAAAAGGGATCCCGTGGTACATGGCAACCACCACCTCCAAACTCACCGGTTCTGTTGGCGCACGCTGCGCATCCATGGTGCCAATTCTGCTGCAAAAATGGCTCCGAGAGGCGTTCGATTGGTTAACAAGCGCGTTGTCAGCTGTATAAAGGACTTAAATCCAGTGTCCATATCTATGCCTACCCCTATGTTTGCACCTATATTAGATCTATGTTTGTATTTGCATCTATCTCTATCTTTATGTCTCTATCTACATCGGTATCTGTATCTAATTTCCAGTTCTAAGTATATAAATGTATGTGTGTGTATCTGTATCTATGGCGAAATGGTCTGTACATTTATATGTGTATATATATATATCTTCCTATGTTTGCTTTCTGATCATACGTTTCTTTCTCTATAAGAGTTTTAATCTCTGTGTCTATACCTATTTGTGTCCTTTGCTTTAGGCTATATCTATCTCTATGTCTGTACCGTATATCTCTATGTGCATGTATGTATTTGTTTCCCTATTTGCATCCATGTTTGCATCTATATCTACATCTAAGTCTATGCCTGCATCTATCTCTTTACTAGTAAACTACTACAGTAGTAATTAGGTCTGTATCTGCATCTACATCTTTATTCACGTTTTGTTTCTATCTCTCTCTCTCTATCTATCTATCTATCTATCTATCTGTTTATCTATCTATCTATCTGTCTATCTGTCTATCTATCTATCTATCGATCTATCTATCTATCTATCTATCTATCTATCTATACGTTTCACTTTGTAAACCTGTATCGCCCTGTTTCCAAATCGATATCTATGTCCACAACTATTTCTTTGCCTATGCCTATATGTATAGCTATCTATCTACATTTGTAATCATATGCGTTGACCGTTTTTTTGTGCCAGTAAATCTCCTGACAGGTGCCACTTCATGGAGGCCACGGCTGCGACACTGCTTGAGAACATGGGATGAATTGGCGATGGGATAAATATTAGTCAAAAATGTATAGGAGTAACGATTGATAAGCATTACCCTCTGGTAAACAAACATAGCTATTGAAAATGGTGATTTATAGTGGATTGACCCATTAAAAATAGTGATTTTCCATAGTTATGTTAGTTTACCAGAGGGTAACGGATCATGAAGTTAGACGTCAGATATGACAAAAATGTTACTATCATAACATTTGCCTATAATTATATATAGTTCTTATTTCTAACCATTTATATACCGGGATAATGAATAGTTGACAAATCATGGGATGTTCGACCGTTTGCACATAAATCATTTTGAGTATGGGATGTATCATCGATTTATGGTTTATTAATGTTGAAACTTCCGGGGCTTAAATCTTTAGTTATAGTTAGAACATTTGAGAAGTTGACATGTTTTGATCATCTTCGGCCAGTTCTTTGGTGGACCCTAGGGCTCGGTCCAAACGTCTTTTGTCACAGTTGTTTCTGGAGTGTGTCGGCGATTCCTTGTTTATTTAATCTTATTTATCTCCTTATATGCCCATGATCTCCCATTATCATTTTATCTCCCATGAATGGTGTGATCATTTCTCATCCCAACATTTCCTCCTGGGGATTTAATAATGCCCATTCGTTAGATGATGGTGAAATCCCCATGAATCTCCATACATCGCCATTCAGATCCAGCTCTATCGCCAGGCAGGGCAGGAAGCTGACGCTGATCCCGGAGGTTCAAAGTCGGGGTCGGTGACAGGGATGCATTGAGGATGTGATCCTTATGGATTTCTTTTAGGGATTGTTTACCCGGTTTACCCTCAGACTATCATGACTATGATGAATACATGGAAAATCACTAGTTTCAATAGGTCAATCAACTATAGATGGCCATTTTCAATAGCTATGTTAAATTTACCAGAGGAAAGTTGTTTTTTTTCTGGAGTGTTTGTGGATTTGTTTGGGTGATTGGGATGTGCCCAAATATATCCAAGAATAGGGGATTTGGGTCGGTCTGTTTCAGGTGATCCTGAACTCTACCAGATCGAGAGTCAGGTCCCCAGACCTTAGAATGCGTTCGACATTATCATAAGCGAGGGCTCGAACCAGTTCATGAAAAAATTGGAGGGTGATCAGAGTTGCCGTAAGATCTCTATGGGTTTCAGAAACCGATAGTTGATTTGTCTGGAAATTTCAATCAAGCAACCCGAAAAACCGAGGCGACCAGAGCCAAGATAGCCTCCAGGTGGGTCCAACCCTTGCAGGAAAAAACATTTTCTCGTGAGACAACTCACGTGGTTGTCCTTGCTGTCGAGGTGGTAGCAGCGAAGTTCAAAGGGAAAAAAAAAGACAAGGCTGTCCGCTTGGATGAGTTTCATTCCCAATTCGCTGGCCAGCGGTTGTTTCAGAATATCTTTGTGACCGTTTTTTTAACTGGCTGCGTCTATCCAAATTCTTGGCTACCGCCCCTTCGCGACAGGGGCAGCTCTAATTGCAAGCCCCTTTCGGCCGAAGGAGAAGAAGAAAACGAAGAAAAAGAAAAACAAAAAGAAAAAGAAAAAGGACAAGAAGAAGGACAAAAACCTGAAGGCTGGCATCCATGCTGATTTCAAGAAAGTTTCATCCCCAGCATTTCGGAATTTTTGTCACCGCCCGTCGGATGATGACTTTCCATAGGCACCTCTGGCAGGCCAAGCGAAAACGCAAAGTGGAAGGCACCGGCTCGTTGGAAGGGACATGTGGAGCCATAGCGGGGTTCCACTACTCGGTGGTAAATTGACCACAGGTTTTAATATATAGGAAATTGATTCAAAATGTTTGATCTTCCATAATCTCTCATATCTCTGTTAATTTACTGGAGGGAATGAGGACTTAACCAAGATATGGGGTCTAGATGCAACCAGTGACTTCCAGAAATCGCTGGAATTCAAACACGGCACAACCGTGTTGGCAATTTGGTTTGACCGAAGAGATGTGGGGCAAACGCTGGCTGCTACCTCCACATGTTTGTTTCTAGATGTAACCAGCATTCTGAAAACTGCCCTGTCATGAAGCATGGCTGGAAGACCCTCCATTCAGTTCGATGATTCTCCCATTGCCCAGAAAAAGGGCGCGCTGCTCGCAGGTCCACAGCTGCCATCTACATCGTATGGACCTCAATGACCAGCCGGTGACTTTTTAAAGGTGGATCCCCAGCAATCAAATTACAACCACGCAAGACTTTAGGCTTAGTGTGGTTTGCTAAAAATGCAATTCCATTACCTTTCCTTGCTTGTGTACTTTGGGCAAAGACAGGCCAATGGCGATGGTTTTTGGATCTTATTTATAGTTCTTTGGCATCTTGATGATTAAATCAAATCCTAGTTCTTGCTTTCTATATCCCCATTTCATTTCGCCCCATTGTTTGTGTATTTTGGTTGAGTCCCCCGGCCTTTGGCTCTACCATATGGTTTCCATAGATGTCCTTTTCCCATTGGTTGGTTGATTCACAGAAAGGTTTGAAGAAACCCCTTTAACAACAGGTAATTCATGATAGATGGGATTAACCAAACCGGCCCCTCTATTTTTACCAAAAGGACATTATTGGTTCAAAACCCCTGTTGGTTGATGATTAGTTCAGGGATAAAAAACTACCTACCCAAGATATTGAGGAATATTGGGGATTATAATAATCCAAGAACGGGGAATCCCTATTAACCAACCATGTTTCATGTAGATGTTCCTTGCCAGGTCATCCTCGAGCGAATCGTTGCGAGCTGAGAGAGTTTTGACACCATAGATCTGGCTGAAGTATCATGATATATTGGTCATCAGATATGATGGGAATATAGTGGGTTACATATATATATATACATATATATATATTATTTGATTTATTGTTTTATTATTTTACTTATTACTTTATTCATTACTTATTTGTTCTTTTTGTTACTATTTTATTTTTTATTTTGACACCTTTGTCTGAAAAGCAGCAAGTTTTCAGATGGTGAACGATGCATAAAGAAAAATGTGGATTTCATCTGGCATTAATGGTGATTTTTATACATATATATATATATATATATATATAACGTTGTATATGTTGTTATTTATGTTATACTATATATTATGTTTATATCATATTACAATATATTACGTATTATAATTCATGTTGTAAAATAGTTTGTTGTATAATATACTTTTTTATGTTATATTATATTATATTTATATTGTAATATGTATTGCAGTTTATATTGTATTATATATATATATTATCATTAAATAAGTAAATATATATATATAACTGTCATGGGACACGTAACCAAACATGAATGATTTGGGGAAGCAACAAAAGGGAACCAATATCAGCAAACAGTGAGATTTATAGTAATTTATTGCCGTTTACACGGGATACACAGGGATATTTATGGGATATGAATAGCATATTGATAGGACATTAGTAGGATGTTATGCATCAAATATTTAGGTGTATCTCAAAAGGGGGATAACCCAAACTATCGCAAATATAAGGGAAAAAGATGATCAAACATCAAATTTTTGGGGCACCCTAGTTTCAGACAAACGTTAAAAGTGCTATTTCATCGGATGTTGACATGGACATCAACGTCATCAATTTCCAGGGTTTGGTTGACGTGAAGTGCTCTAAGAGATAGGACTTGATAAACATGTTCATATTCTCATCATTTTTATTGTCCTTATTACATCTTAATCTTATTACCACATCATTATTGTATTCTTGTCATTTTGATTCCGTTCATATCCCCATGTCTATCCCATCTTATCATGTTCCGGCCGGCCCAGGGCCGTGTCGGAGACGTCCTTGGCACAACGCTTCACCCAAGCAGCTGAAGCCATGGCCTTTTGGGGCGTTAATTGGGGACACTTTCCCCATGGTAGACACACTTGAAATATCCTGAAATATTGTGGATGGTTGCGAACTCCTGCACCACCAATTTGGGATGGTTGAAACATGTTGAAACCCTCATTATAAATAATGGGATAAACATGATAAACCACCGACCTATCAACTGGTGATTCGGATTTCGCTGGCCCATCCACAGTATCATAATATCCAACAAGATTGTGCTGTCGGAAGCTGGTTTCAACGGCGGACACTATTTGTTTGATTCAATTTACCATCTGGTTATGACAAACATAGCCATGGAAAATCACAATTTTTAATAGGTAAACCATCTATTTCTATGGGCCATCTATACCATGGCTATGTTAAATAACCAGAGGGCGGTAAATATATGAAAAAAAATCAGGTCATGGCAACGGGGAGAAAAAACAACCTTCCGAACCAGATTAGGTGCACCTTCCGGATGTGATTGCCAAAGGTCAAACACACTTTCCAGAGGCCATAACCTGCATATTTGGCACTGGCACTGGCAGTTCATTGTTTAGCTGACCTGGACAATTCCTGTGGTTCAAGTCTTAGCTCCTGCGAGTTAAGACGCTGCTAACACACAGAAACCTACGCGCTTGACATAGTGCGTCGGGGTGACAGCGGCAGAGATGTTGGGAGGAGGAACTCTCATCAAACAGGTGCGGGCAAAGCGGGGGATGAAATTTGAAAGAAGCAGGGAACCCTGGCTGCCACCTAGGATGTTTATAAGTTGGAAAGACCTTTTTGAGGAAGGTTAATTCGTGGGTGGGCTGGGGATATATCATAACCATATTCACCCATCAGATGATGAAGCATCAACCTGGATGCAGTGCTGTGAATGGCAAGTTTTACAAACGTAGGACCTCACATCAAATCCAAAAATATTCCAGTTTCTTCCCCCGCACAAAAAAAAAAACATCAAGAACAACAGTTTCCACCTTCCAATCGCCCCTGATGGTTTCTTTGGTCTCCGCAACGTGAGGCCGGGCTATTTGGCTTCGGCTACAACCGGGTGAACTACAAATTTGACCAGGGCCAACGATGGGCTCGCTTCACCGCCGGCCGCGCAAACGAGCTGAAACGCTCCGCGATGTTTCGAGAAGATGTGTCTGACCTGGCGGCAGTGTGCCGTGGCGAAGGGGGGCCCTCGAATGGATAGCCATGGGGCAGGTTGCCGGTGGTAAAGCTATGAAGAACCTGGCTGGGCGTTTATTGAACTTATTGTTGTTGATTTACAGTAGCATCATTTCGCCCATGTCTGTGGCTGTTGGGGTGTTGGGTGCAATCCTGGAAATCAACCATCATATGAGGGATTTAACCAACACGAATAAAAACAATGAATGAATGGGGATTGAAGCAACCGTAAATGGAGATAGAACTTACCAATACTGTGGTATAATGTAAATAATTCGTGAACCATCCCCAATATTTTGCCACCATTAATACATACGGGTGGGATTAAAACCATCCCCAAATCATAGGTTGATGGCACTGGGTCTACCACATAGGAAGAGTTCAGATAAGAATGCTTGAAAATGGTTGGGTTATGGGCGGGAGACGTCCTGATTTGTGACCAGCATTGGCTGAGACATTGAGTTGGCCTGCCCAGAAAGACCATGCTGATAGACCTTGAGGAGAGATGTGACTCTGATAGCCTCTGGTAAACTAACATAGCTACTGTATGTAAAATCACAATTTTTAATGGGTAAATCCACTATAAATGGCAATTTTCAATAATTAGCTATGTTAGTTTACCGGAGGGTACATATGTTTACTGAGAAGCTTGTTAGGCTCCAAACGTCAGAGACAAAGCGGTCCCAACTGACAGCCTCCAAGGTCAGTCAGCAAGTTGAAGGTCTACGTCCCCGTGCTCACAATGAGCTTGGGCTATGTGCTCACCGTTTTGGTGGAAGCCCGAAGTGGATTGAAATTCCCAGGCCCACCCACCTTTGCCTCCGGCTTGTGGCTGGGACTTGAAGGGGAACCTGCAGGGGAACCCGTGGGATGTGGGATGTGGAGTGTGGCTATGTGTGGGTCCCGTTTTTTAGAGCCTTGGGATTTGGAGGCATAACCAGCAACCAGCTTAACCCCTTGGAGCGCTGATTTAAACATCGGCAGTGTCATTTGATGTTATTTGAAACATGTTTTTTGCCAATGACTTGGTTTCCCAAGCTTGTCTTCATCCCCTTTGGGTCCCATGCCATGCCGCACCTGCTTGGCCATGTAACCCACATGCCGGGCAAGGCAGTGATCAGAATATAACTGGCGTAACTGGTTGGTGGTTGCACCATGCTGCGCCTATGTTTTTCAATCAGATTTGAGATGATGACCCCCAGTGGCATTCTATGGCTCTGAGTTCAAAGCACCAATCTGATAACTTGAAATTTCCAACATGTGCCAATTGGGCCAAATGCATCCAAATGCCATTAACATGCCATTATACAACATCCCATCAACATCCCATGAAAATCCCTCAGGTATTTGAATTGTCTGGCGGTCGCCTTCGCTTTCATGACGCTCTCCATTTGGCTGTGCTGGCATGCCGCCATGCGAGCCCAGATCGCCATGGTGCAACTTCGCACAAGGAAGGCAGGGCATGGCAGGGCATGGCCGCCTCCGTGGTGTGTGTGTGTGCGTGTGTGCGCGCACGTGGAAAGTACCAGCAAGGAGACCAAAACCATCAAAATAGATCAAAATAGATGAACTGGATTTTCTTCACCGTAGCCTAGTTAGTCCAGTCTACACATGCCACTTTAAGATAGTTTGAGCAGTTTCCTAGAATTTTATGAAGCAAAATCAGCCAGAAAGCCCCTGATTTATTGATCAAAAATGTTTGTAGCGGTTTGTTGTCAGTAAAAGACCATTGAAACATATTGAAACCCATTATATAAAATCCGACTGGTTTCCCTGATTAGAAACCCTAAAAATCCGACTGGTTTCCCATTCCAGTCGGAACATCTTCGGTTTCCCATCTCTTCTTCGGTGGATCCGTTGAGGTGCGTCTGCCGGTGCCCTCCCAGCGGCAGCTGGACAGTGCACGAAAGATCTTGTCCACCTACGAGGAGCAGGGCGTCTACGACATGTTTCGGCTGCCTTTCCTGATGCCCAACACCGGCAACACGCCACCGGCTTCGGATGACGAGGTACTGTAGAAAATGATGGGACAAACCATGGAAAACCTTTAGAATCCTGCGTTCAATCACCATTTTTCCCATCAAACAATAGCTATTTGAGATTCTTTTAATTAGAAAAAATAGTGTAATTCAATGGGTAATTCAAGCCTATTTTTGTTGGACCATGTTGGACCTCAAGGTGAAGGACGGCAAGAGTAAGAAGGAATCCAAGACCGGCTATGACAAAGCGGGCTTGCCGGGCATTGGAGCCAAGATGAAGGAAAAGGTGAAGGAGCTGGCTGAGGTGCGGAAGAGTCGTTGATAGTCGTGGCTGCGGCCTGCTATGCCTGCTATGCCTGCTATGCTGACCTGAGATTTTTAAGGTGACCTTTTTACATATACAGTATGTTATAATATATCTTATAATATGAAGTTATGTGATGTTATATGAAACTATGTGAATTTATATGATGCTATGTGATGTTATATGATGATGTTATATGATGTTAATATATGTTAATATGATGTTATATGATGTTATATAAATTATATGTATACTTGTGTTTTGACTATAGTTTCCAGGAATGTTGAAGATCACCAGAGACTTGGAGGGTGCAGTTGGGATTAATATTACGGGGTTATATTTGAACTGAGGTTAAAAATCCCATGGTTATTACCCAAAACTTCAACTGGCTCAAAAAATACCATGATATACCATGGTTACAAAACCCTGGAAAAAACTCAAGTGCATAGCTTTTCTCCAATTTCTCCATGGCCAAAATATGCATCTTTTGAACGCCATGGCCATGGCTTCCTCCACTGGCCCCGGTGCAGCGGCTCCGCTCCAGGAGACGGGTGGTTCCAAGAAGGAACTGGCGCACGCTGCGCGGATGCCGGGCACCACCTCAGGGGTGCCGTCATGGATCGACAAGGAGGTGGCAGCCACTTGGTGCAGATATGGCACCCTCTGGTTTTGTTACATAGCTATTGAAAATGACCATAGAAATAGAGGATTTTCCCATTGAACATGGTGATTTGCCATAGCTTTTTGTATGTTTACCAGAGGGTAATTATGGTATGATAATCTGTATGATATGGTAAACATAACCATATGGTAATTATATGGTTCATTATGGTATGATATGGTAATTAACCATCATATAAATTATGACAGGCTAATTATGGTATGATATGGTTAATGAAACTACCTGCCGGGCAAGTTATATATCCCTGTTTTTGAATCGCTGTGAGTTAGATGTTTTACTTTAATATATTCAAATGAGATGAAACACCTTTATTGAAGTTTAGGTTGTGATTTTTCAAAGCTCACCTTGATACCTGACTTTTTCGGGTAGCTAAGGCCCGTGATGATTTTCCCAAGGCTTCTCCCAGTGCTTTTGGCAGCTTGGCACATGACTGGCGCGGTTAGTCTGAAGATGGGCTATCTCCAAGCCATGAATTCTCCATTTTTCCGCATTGATTTTATCAAAAATGTGGTCATAACTCAGGACATGGCCCATGTCAAACACAACGAAATGTTGATAGATCATACTTATAGATGGCAATGTTTCATATGTTTGGCCTTTGGGCAGCGACATCATCAGCCATTCCAGAAGTTTGCCTAACAGAAGCTGCAGCCTTCCGGCGATATATCATGTCTTCCAGTGCGGCTTTCCGCAAGGGTTCGGTTGAAGCCGACTTGATCCAACTTCTTTGCAACTACACAGGTGCCCTCTGCAAAAAGAAGTTACCTTATTCCACAAACAACATCAAACAACTAGGTCGACCTGGCCCTTCCGGCTATGATTTGTTCGCCTCGCCCGAGGCAACGAAGCTCCGCCCGAGCCCTATGAGCATTTTGAGCTGATTCGCCAAGCACAGCCACTTGGTAATCTGGTCGTGCTGTGGGTGTACTGAGAAGCCAAGAACTTGGGCAACACTCAAGCAGAAGCGGTTTCAAGATGTTTCAAGTACATTGCTTATCTTTGTTTGGAAAACCTTAACCAATGGCCCCATTCAATCAAACTTATAACTTATAAAGTAAATCTTATCATTTCAGACGCCTCACGACCTGGCCATACCTGGTCACTTTTTCGAAAAAATCTTCAGGAAAGACTATTGGTGTGCCGAAGCCTATGCCCGAGTGACCTTTTTGATTGGCAAGATGCACTTGATCCAATCCTTCGCCTATTGGCTCCCCATTCACAACATCGGTGAGCTGGGCCTGGTCTGGGGCGCTGTGATCTGCGCCTCCTCATTGTCCGCAGGGGTGTGGATCATGTTCCGCATGGATGTGTTGCCCTCCCATGGAGGCTGCTTCCCCATCGAAATCGGAGGGCCCATCATTGAAGCCATCAGTTTCTGGGTCATGGCATGTCATGGCTTGGGGCTACCCTCTGGTAATTTAACGTAGCTATTGAAAATGGCCATTTATAGTGAGTTTTCCCATTAAAAAGGGTGATTTTCTCCATAGTTATGTTAGTTTACCAGAGGCTAACTTTTTGATACTTGCTGAATCCTGGAGGTTGCAATGGGCTTTCTGAAAGTTACCCTCCGGTGATCAAACCTGACTGGAAAATATGGGAAACCCCGAACTAGCCATACAGTAGATGATTGAACCCATAACACCCCCTATCATATAAGAGCTATAACTTTTATAACATTATATAACCACATATACAGTAGCCATATATTTATAATTCATAAATTTTATATTTATATGATATAATACAAATTGATTACCGAACCATATATATATACAGTAAAATATACCCTCCGGTTATCACTAACAGTTCGCCATGGTATAGATGGCCCATAGAAATAGATGGTTTACATATATTAATAGCATGGTGGTTTTCCATGGCGAACTGTTAGTCATAACCAGATGGTAACCGTTAATTTTTTTACCACCTTGGCAACTTGGCGTTGCGGATGTCCGCCCAGGTTTGGCCTTGGCCTACACGCATCATCCCACAGCAAGTGTCATAGACATTTCACGTGCCTTGGGAGCCGGGGCGGGAGCCGGGGCTACGGAGAGAGTTTTCCATAGGATATCCAAATGACACTGTCTGTGTTGTTTATATATATATAATTATATATAATGTGCATTTATTTACGGTATTGTATACTAGCATATTAATGTAATTGCACTTTAGATTATATTGTTTAAACTTTCTCTGCGCATATATATATATATATATATGTGTGTGTATGTGTATATGATAGTGCGTGTATTCTTATGTATATGCATGTATATCTATCTATCCATCCATCCATTCATCCATCCATCCATCCATCCATCTATCTATCTCTCGTAAATTGGGATATGCAGAAACAATCAAAAAACTACAATATGTAGAAACAAAAATGCATTTCATGCTATGAGCCAGATGTAAATGATTGCAAATGGATATATAATCCCCTCCTCCGATCATATTCTCTACCCCCTTGAATGGGACCCAACATGGATAGATCGAGAGAATAAGAAACCAGTGTTTCTGGGAAGGTATTGAATATTCAGGTGAATTGGGTTATCTGGAGGATCATTCCACTTAGTGACTGGTTAGTAACCCCAGCAAGTAAGTCAAACAAACCTCGAATCAGAAACTTCCCGCGAATCAGCAACAAAGAATCAGAAACTCAAACCCGCGAATCAGAAACTAAAATCCCACGAATGTGGGTTATTCCATCCTTAACTGGGCTTGTTTGTGGTTAAAAAAAACCTGTTACATCCACTGGGATGATCCTCCAGGCTTCTCTTCCTTTTGTTTTTCGTAAAAAATTTGAAGGTCCACAAAAAAAAATGAAGGACTTATGATGACTTATGTTAGTTGGTCCCAAAGTATCCTCCGCTGACATATATCTGATTCACGAACAAAATTGCCTGTTATATCCGATCATCTATTGAAATGATATCCCAATTTTGGCACTCCCCAATTTTCAGGTATCCCAAACGATCACCAGCTCCGCTCCGGCAATGAGGTGCTGTTGCCATCCTGGTTCTTTTGATGCAGATCGGCCTCACGATTCGTCTCTATGTGGTCTCACAGCCTGCCAACAGTTCGGCAGGGGCCACACATCAGGCCAGAGAAATTGGTGAGCGCATGTTCAACCAGAGCGCTTCCTGTGAAAGTCTCTGAGATTGGCAAAATCACTGATTTATCTCTGATTTTTCTTTTTAGATATGTTGGGGAGTGGCATTGCTATGAGAATGTTTATTGTCATGATTATTCTGTTTGAATTGTTATTATTATGTTATATGAGTTATATGTGTATTTATTGTCATTGATTGTGTATTGCTAACGGTTGATCATTCACTTCATCATTCAGGCGCGTGAGGCCGCCTTGTGCGGCCTCAAAAAAAGTGACACCTTCCCCCGGCCGCAAAAGCCGCCATACCTCGCCCGACCTCGGAATCCTCGCAGCTTAGGTCCGGCCTGGCTTCCCGCGGCCTTTCAGCACGTGTCATACCTAGTGGCTCCACCCAAGACCAAAGCGCAGTTGGAGCAGGAGCAGATCGATCGAGATCAGAACGTCATTCGCGAGGATCCCATGGTCAATGTGGATATGACGCCATGGTTACTGGGATGGAACTAGATTTTAACTGGGGATATCTTGGGAGATGGGGATTTAACATAAGGTTAGCTATAATTGGCTATAATGATCTATAATGGTAATCACTTGAAATGGGATAAATATTGATAAAAAACCAGCCAGATGATAATTACTCCCATGGCAGCTGGCTTAGATGGTGATTGTTTTGGTGATATGTTTGGGGATATGTTTTGGAAATTTCAGAATGGAACATGTTGTGGGATTTCCATTCTGAGATTTCCAAAACATATCACCAAACATATCCCCAAACATGGAAACCATATCAATCGCCAACATCAATCCATGGAATTATCATGGGAGATGTTTCGAAAATGTTGGCGATTTCTCATCGGGGATTTCATGCGGAGGTTTTTTGGAGTTCTGTGGAGTTCACCGTAATTTAAACAAAGGTGATTTCATTGTTTTGTTAATGGGAATGTCTTTGGGATATGTAGGAAAATTAATCATTACAATAGCATATAGCTGGGTTTGAGAAAATTGAATTTTCTGACAATTATTTCAAACTGTCATTAACAGCGGGAATGATGGGGTATTGGGAAACAGGAATATGGGAGAATGTAGCTGTTGTTCAAAAAATATGTGGGAATAGGGATACTGGACAATGGCTTTGCAAAAACGTATAGGGGATTGGGGATGGAATGGAAGTATATGGAACTGTTGGGGATCAGGCCTGCTTACAGAAAACATGGGCAGATTTTGACGTTTGCTGTTGAAGATGATGCTGTGGGTTGATGATGTTGATGTTTGAGCCCAAGAGGCTGGGCAATGGATGATACAGGTGGATTGAGACATACTGATACAGATTTCGACCCCAAAACGTGGTAACATAGTGTCCTGGTTGGTGGTTTGGATTTTTATGACGTTCCATTCAGTTGGGAATGTCATGGTCCCAACTGACCAAAACATATTTTTCAGAGGGGTAGGCTCAACCACCAACCAGCCAAACGATTGGGGAATCTTGGACCATTTGTTCCATGGGACATGGGAGCAGCACCGTCCCAGGTACTACGTCCGCACCTTGCTCTTCGTGACCGTCTTGAGCTGGTCGGTCCTGCTGACCGGCCGCATTGTGGAATGCATCATGAGCGAGCGCATCTGGGAGAGAAAGGGCTGGTTCACGAAAAGTGGTGAGAAAGGGTGAGATGACTCATACTGTTGGGATGGGTTAAAACATGTTAAAACCATCAACCGGATAGTTATGGTCGCATCATCCAATAGTTTTTTGGAATTCAACCTATGGTTTCCCACTGGCTGCCCAACAAAAATATATCAAAAAATAAGGAGCTGCAAGCCGGAGGGGCTCAGAGGAATGATTGAATCGAAGATGTTGGTATGTTTCAAATGGTCCAGTTACTCACCAAAAGTTAAGCCATAATATCTTCTATCATAAACTTGAGCATGTTTATTCCAAAGAGGCTGTGCCATGAAGTAAACTTTCACAGCTATGGAAATCTATTTTTGTTTCCCATTCAAAAAATGATCTACTCACCTTCCTCACAGGGTTCCAGCATCGTTTTGTCAAATCACTTGAGGGTAGCCCCATTAACTGTAGTTATAATCAGCATGGGCATAAACCAACTATGTTAACCATATCAAATACTTAAAATCCAGAAACATCACGAAACATGTATATAGTTATCAGGCCATTTAGCGTTTCACTGTTCCCACCTTAGCCATGGGGCCGCGCTTCCCAGGCATGCTGGTGACCAACCCGGGCGCCCCTCCCTGGACCCGCATCGGACGTTGGTACGGCTGGGAGAGCGGACCTATCACCTCCAAGCACTACGCGCATGTGACGCCCATGCGTGGACACTTTGCTTGGCAGAAGGGATGGGGACCCCAGGGACAACAGGACGGCGGTGGTTTGGGGCGGGGACAGGGGCTGGAGATTTCTGAGAAACTCAACGTTTTAGATGAAATGGATTGAAGTGGTACAGTATAGGTGTGGGGGTTGGGAATTTGTGAGTCATGTTTTATGACATATATAAACCGGAGTGTTTTATGGTAGGTGGTGAGGGATACAACCCAACATGAACTTGGGATATCGTGGGGAACGTCGTTTGTAAATGGCCCAATGATATAAGATGTGATGTGATATGGTACATATGATGTGATTTCGTAGCTGTTTTATGGAGATCACCCCGAAAAAAGATACCCTCTGGCAATGAACCATGGTTTGCTGCAAAATCCTCAATTTATTCATGTTTTTTTCATTACAACCTCCACTTATAGGGAGTGTGACACGAATCAGCCCGGCAGGAGCTGTGGGCCAGCGATATGTTTGGCTTCCACCCAGAGGCCGATATGCATTGGTCCGAGGCGGAAGGCCCAGAACCCCATGTTGGCGTGGCCGGCCGTGGCAAGAACACCTGGTTCACCGGGGTCATCAAATATGCGCGGGTCTATGAAGGTGGAGACCATGATTGGTTGGACAGTGGAGGTCATCGTCGTTTGCAGAGCGCCGGGGCGACAAGGGCGACAAGTGTGACAAGTCCTGCCATCTTTCGACCTGTGGTGCCTGCGGCCATCCATTGGCCACCGATGTTGGAACCCGAACTATTGGCCTCCAGCGCCCATGGAATTATTGCCATGGCCCCTGGTGGAACTGGGGCCATCCTCCCAGGCAACTCAGCCTTTGAGGGTGGCCACAGTGTTCCATTCAACCTGGGGATCTTGGAAATGGGCCGTGCTCATGGCCTCAGTTGGTCACCTCAGGGCCAGCTGCTGCTGCACACCAGCTCCGGCAAGATCGCTTCCTGCCCCGTGACGGCTGCAGGAGGCTCCATCCCATGTCAGGCTTTGGATCTGCCACCAGTGCCAGGCTGGGAACCCTCTGGGATTGCAGTGGTGACCCCTGCTGTTGAGCCACATCCTTTCCGTGCGGCCATCCTGGGAGATGGCAAGGTCAGGGTTCATGAGTTGACCACGGGATTGACACAACATTGGCACCCAACAGTGGAGTTGCAGATCCCACACAGCACCAGCAAACCCGTGTCCCTGTCTGGAGATCATGAACGGCTGGTGATGGCAATGGATGATGGTTCCGTCTTCCACTGGTTGTTGGATGGACAACGAACAGGCGCGGCAGAAGAAACCTATAGGTTGAAGAGAAATGATGAAATATTAACTTCAAGAAACCAAAAGATGTATCTTCCTGAAGATACACCGATATATGATCATTTGATGCGACTTGAAAGATATCATGCTACTTTAATAATCCCCAGCTTCAAGTCCCTGACATCCCCCGTAGAGCCATCACACCACAGGATATTTGATGTTGTTACATCTACCATCATCTACCCAAATTTTGTGGTTAAATGATGTTCAATCCCTAATTTTGATTGTTAATCCCTAAATTCTCATGTTTGAATCCACTTCTCATGGTGAACTACCTAGTCCAACGACCATTTTTTGCTGACATCATCCTCGCGCAGGCGAAGCCATTCGTGAAGTCCCAACCGCCGGTCCCCGGCGCAGCTGGAGCTGTGCATGCGCCACGCCGAGTGGTCGCGTGATGCGCTTGGCCAACAAGTGGCGTCGCCACCCCGCGGGGCACATGGAGTGGACCTCGGAGCTATTGCTGCCACTGGGACGGGATGGACGGGATGGGGGCTGTGGAGGATCACCCCCCAGTTGGATCGTGTTTGTGGATGGTAAACTGGGGTTAGTTCAGATGGGATAAGGCATTTACTCACCCAGATAAATTAACTATGTGGGGTGATCCTTGGGGATGTGGAGCTGGTGATATGGTAGATTATGGAAGGGTACCTTTGTGGGTACCTTTGTACATAGATATGGATATATGGGTGCGACTGAGTACTGTAGACTTGGAAGAAGGGAGATAAGGGAGGGTTTTGCAGGATATCCTCACCAGTTCCATCCCTTGGAAAGTATGCTGCAGCACTGACATTCCATTCGGCCAGAGTTTTGAGGTGAGCAGTGTTCAAAACCACGATTGGTTGACGATTTTTGGGAATTGATTATACTATCCCATTATATTAGGGGATTGCACTCTATGCAGGCTTATCCTTCAAACCAATATGATTCATGTAGGCCTTGGGAGTTGGCATTTTCCCATTGTCCATCTTTTGTTCAAGGTGAGTAGCTTCATCTGTTTCAACCGTCGACCACCGGCCGCCGCGATTGCTTGTGAACTGTCGGCATCCCGCCGTACCGAGGGATGCCTCCTGTGAGAGAGAAAAAATGGCTGGGCTTTGGCTGTGATGGGTACCCCCAATCAAAAAAAACATGGCAATGGAAAACAAGATTATGTCCATTGCCAGTTTCCCTGGTGAACTGTTAGATTTTTTACCAGAGGCTAGTTAGCCATGATGGAAGTGCAGCGGAGTTGATCTTTCAGACTCGGCCAGGAGTTTGATGACTATGGATGATGAGACTTGACATGGCTGGAATTTATTGTCCCATTGCCCTGAGATAAACATACAAACAGATGTGGAAAACCCATAGTTGTCCCGTTCCAAAAATGATCTAGAACTGGTTGACCATAGATACCATAGTTCACCTATGATATCTATAGTTCTGGTTAATCCATGTTAATCCCTATAATGTGATAACCATTAATTCCCAGGTACCACGGATGATCAGCGTTTCCTAGGCTGGTGGCACCTTGATGGCCCAGTACATTGTGAGGCGCCGGAAGAGTGATGGAAATGGTCGAAAAACACCATGAAATGATTCGTTGTTCATAGTTAAACACCTTGCTCATGAACCATAGTTGTTCATAGTTGTAAACAGTTGTTCTATATATGTTTTGGTGGGCCATCATGGTCCAATTGAAGATTATTGTGGTGAGTGCAGTGGGTTTTGTTGAATTGTTGGCATCACTTGGGAGTTCAATGTTCTTTCAGCATGCCATGAGTGGATCAGAGATGGTTTGTTCAAAGCATGCAGGCACCTGTGACTTATTAATGATAAGAGTCATCCGCTTGGATTCTGCCCCTTCCACTTATATAGGCAACAATCGCAGGATAATGCAGGATATAAGTTCAACATATTATGTGTGTATATATATATATGTGTGTGTGTGTCATATAATTGTATATATATATATATGTTTCAACATGATGAACTATAAATAAAGATCATACGCAAAACAATCATTGAAGCCAATGGGCCATGGAATACACCGATGAAATCCCCATCTCGCCAGGCGCCATGGTTTCAACTGGCGAAACGCACGGGGAGAAGGACCCTTGCACCTGACAGCACGCCTGGATGCCTGGTTCAGTGCCTGGTTCAGGTGTGTTTGATGATGATCCTGATGGTTTTTGACAGAATCCCGTTGTTTTTTTTGCTCAGAACATGCAATCCACAAAAGGATTTAACGGCTGTAAATGACTTTTCGGCATTTTTTCGCAGACTTTAAAATAGGTTGCTTCTATTTGAGTATTTTGAGTCAAGCATTAGTTGATGTTCAAACTGGATCCAGTTTGTATCTGTTTTTACGTCTAAGGTTGCGGTCATCAACGGATTGATTGGGAAATTTTACAGGAAGTCTTACATGGTTTTACCATGAAAATCTATGAACATCTAAGGTTTCCCTGTAAAAATGTCCTTCAAACTCATCCTTTGAGGTCAATGTTTAGTCGGTTTAGCCAGGTGGTGCCGGTGGTACCAGCTGTCGGATCTGAGGCGCCAATCAGCCTGGACTTATGGCGTGGCTTCTCTGCCAAGCTGAAGCGGAGTTCAACACTTAGCCGTGACGTAGCCAACGATTGTAATAAGTGTAATTTATATGAATTAACCTCTTCTTCCTATTACTAAAACTCCCCAAAATAAAAAAGTAGGATTTGTGTGGCACTTTCGGTGTTTTTTTGTAGGGCACAATTGGGTTCTTAATTGTGGTAATTGAGAATCAATACTATAGGAGAACAGGATGGTGAAACAATGGGTTCGACCCCCTGTTAATAAAAATAGAATGGTACCTTGAGGTTTTTTATTATCTTGTATTTTTATTATTAAGGTTTTCATTGGAATATTAGGGGAAAGCTTCGAAATCCAGTTTTTGGCAATATTGTTTATAGATTTAATAAGGGATTTAATCAAAGTTGGAATCATTTACTTTATATATTCGTATCATTAGGGTTTTCATTGGAATATTAGGGGACAGCTTCGAAATCCAGTTTTTGGCAATATTGTTTATAGATTTAGTAAGGGATTTAATCAAAGTTGGAATCATTTACTTTATTCGTATGATTAGGGTTTTCATTGGAATATTAGGGGCGCCCTAATACAAAATACCCCCTAATAATGAAAATAGATCACCGTGTTTACTATTTGGAGGGTGCGTTTTAGTAATAGGGAGAGAGGATTACTCTATATATGTAATGTAGGATACAGATTAGTGTGGGGAGGCCCCCCCGTGCTATGGACGCTTAGCGTTTATTTGGCGGATAGAGTATATACAAGACTTACCAGGTGCTGCGCGGCGTTTGCTTGACAGCGAAAGGTTTGAGGGCGTGCCCGTCTCTTCATTCCAAGAGCGCTTGTGCACGCTTTGGCAGGGAGGTAAAAATATATGAAAGTGAGTTGGTTTCTGCTTGATGAAAGTGAGTTGTTGTCTTTTGACCATCCGTCACAGAATCTGCAATTTTGGGCGCCTCACCTCGCCAGCGCTTTTTTCTAGCTGAAACCAGAAAATGGCAACTAGTGACGCTGCTGATGCCAAACACGAAAAACTTGTGCTCCCAGAATAGTTTTGGGTGCTAAAACCTTTGCTGATGAAATTCATTCGCTGTGTAGCAAGGCATGATATAGAGAAGACCAAGCAGTGTAGCATCATGAAGACAAGACCAAACAGCGTAACACGATCTGATGTAACAACATTAAGCAGCATAACATCAGTTAGGGAAGGTCAAGCAGTGTAGTTTGACGTAGGGAATCATGCAGCGTAGCATCGTGAGGGCAAGACCGAATAGCACAGTATGATACAGAGCACATTAAGCAGCATCCTCAGCGCCTTCAGCGCCCTCAGCGCCCTCAGCGCCTTCAGCGCCCTCAGCGCCTTCAGCGCCCTCAGCGCCCTCAGCGCCCTCAGCGCCCTCAGCGCCTTCAGCGCCTTCAGCGCCCTCAGCGCCCTCAGCGCCTTCAGCGCCCTCAGCGCCCTCAGCGCCCTCAGCGCCCTCAGCGCCCTCAGCGCCCTCAGCGCCTTCAGCGCCTTCTTTAGCCTTCAGCGCCCTCAGCGCCCTCAGCGCCCTCAGCGCCTTGAGCGCCCTCATCGCCTTCAGCGCCTCCAGCGCCCTCAGTGCCCTCAGTGCCTTCAGCACCTTCAGCGCCTCCAGCGCCCTCAGCGCCCTCAGCGCCTTCAGCGCCCTCAGCACCCTCAGCGCCTTCAGCACCCTCAGCGCCTTCAGCGCCTTCAGCGCCTCCAGCGCCCTCAGCGCCTCCAGCGCCGTTAGCGCCTTCAGCACCTTCAGCGCCCTCAGCGCCCTCCGCGCCCTCAGCGCTCTCAGCGCCTTCACCGCCTTCAGCGCCCTCAGCGCCTTCAGCGCCCTCAGCGCCTTCAGCGCCCTCAGCCCCTTCAGTGCCTTCAGCGCCTTCACCGCCTCCAGCGCCCTCTCAGGGCCTTCAGCGCCTTCAGCGCCCTCAGCGCCTTCAGCGCCTTTAGCGCCTCCAGCGCCCTCAGCGCCTTCAGCGCCCTCAGCGCCTCCAGCGCCTTTAGCGCCCTCAGCGCCTTCAGCGCCCTCAGCGCCCTCAGCGCCCTCATTCAGCGCCTTCAGCGCCCTCAGCGCCCTCAACGCCCTCAGCGCTCTCAGCGCCCTCAGCGCCCTCAGCGCCTTCAGCGCCTTCAGCGCCCTCAGCGCCTTCAGCACCTTCAGCGCCTCCAGTGCCCTCAGCGGTTTCAGCGCCCTCAGCGCCCTCAGCGCCCTCAGCGCCTTCAGTGCCTTCAGCGCCTCCAGCGCCTCCAGCACTCCTACTTATCATCGACTCTTATGTAAACACTTACTGGTAGCTGCTAACTGCCAAATAGCCTCGAACTGTCCATCGTACGAGGCCCCCCCCCCTCCCCCCTTAACAAATTTTGGATACAGAATAGTGTGGAAAAAACAAGGTACCGGGTACAGAATAGTGTAAAATAAAAAATGATAGATTTTAATCGATTTCAATTTACTTTCAATTGATTTCAATTTATTTTGAATTGATTTCAATTTACTTTGAATTGATTTCACTTTACTTTCAATTGATTTCAATTTACGTTCAATTGATTTCAATTTACTTTCAATTTATTTCAATTTATTTTGAATTGATTTGAAGTTACTTTGAATTGATTTCAATTTACTTTCAATTGATTTCAATTTATTTTGAATTGATTTGAAGTTACTTTGAATTGATTTCAATTTACTTTCAATTGATTTCAATTTACTTTCAATTGATTTGAAGTTACTTTGAATTGATTTCAATTTACTTTCAATTGATTTATTTTGAAATTTCAATTTACTTTCAATTGATTTCAATTTAGTTTTTGAATTGATTTCAATTTACTTTGAATTGATTTCAATTTACTTTCAATTGATTTCAATTTATTTTGAATTGATTTGAAGTTACTTTGAATTGATTTCAATTTACTTTCAATTGATTTCAATTTATTTTGAAATGAGTTCAATTTACTTTCAATTGATTTCAATTTACTTTCAATTGATTTCAATTTACTTTCAATTGATTTGAAGTTACTTTCAATTGATTTCAATTTACTTTGAATTGATTTCAATTTACTTTGAATTGATTTCAATTTACTTTCAATTGATTTCAATTTACTTTCAATTGATTTCAATTTACTTTCAATTTGCTTTCAATTTACTTTGAATTTACTTTCAGTTGATTTCAAATTACTGCCAATTTACTTTCAATCGACGTCCCATAGAAATCCAATAGTAGTCCCAAAGAAATATCATAGAAATAACATTGAAAATCCCATAGGAATCTCACAGAAATCCCATAGAAAGATCATAGAAATAACATGGAATAGCATAGGAACCACAAAAGAAATCCCATGAGAATTCCAATAATAATCCCATAGAAATATCATAGAAACATCATGGAAATACCTTGGAAATCCCACAGGAATCCAATAGAAATTCCATAGGAATCCAATAGAAATACCATAGAAACCCCATAGGAATCCAATGGAAATCCCATAAGAATACCATAGAACCCCCATAGCACCCCTTCATAAATCCCATAGAAATCCTCCAGAAATATCATAGAAACATCATGGAAACCCCATAGGAATTCCATAGAAATCCAATAGTAATACCATGGAAATACCATAAAAGAAAAAAGCTTTAGCAAAGGAAAAGGTAAAGGGAATGCTTGAAAAAAACATCACACCAGGAAGCAGCTGGACACAATAGTGTACCCTCCAAACAAACCACACTATTGTGTATCAGGGTTGCTCATGGACTACCCCCTTGAAAAATTGTTTGAGTGATGATTTGTAATTGGGTTTTAATAAGACATCATATATTTTGGGAAATTGTGCATTTCTGAGAATTTTAAATGAAAGAAACTAAGAAAGTAACTAAGTAATTAAAAGAAAAAAAACCTTAGCAAAGGAAAAGGTAAAGGAAATGATTGAAAAAAAACAAAATCACCTCAGGAAGCAGCTGGACACAATAGTGTACCCTCCAAACAAACCACACTATTGTGTATCAGGGTTGCTCATGGACTACCCCCTTGAAAAAATGTTTGGGTGATGTTTTTTGATTGAGTTTTAATAAGGCATCATATATTTTGGGAAACTGGGCATTTCTGAGAATACCAAATGAAAGAAACTAAGAAAGTAATTAATTAATTAAAAGGAAAAAACTTTAGCAAAGGAAGAGGTAAAGGAAATGATTGCAAAAAAAAAACCTCAGGAAGCAGCTGGACACAATAGTGTACCCTCCAAACAAGCCACACTATTGTGTATCAGGGTTGCTCATGGACTACCCCCTTGAAAAATTGTTTGGGTGATGTTTTTTGATTGGGTTTTAATAAGGCATCATATATTTTGGGAAACTGGGCATTTCTGAGAATTTCAAATGAAAGAAACTAAGAAAGTAATTAAGTAATTAAAAGAAAAAAACCTTAGCAAAGGAAAAGGTAAAGGAAATGATTGAAAAAAACAAAAAATCATGCCCTCAGGAAAGCAGCTGGACACAATAGTGTACCCTCCAAACAAACCACACTATTATGTATCAGGGTTGCTCATGGACTACCCCCTTGAAAAATTGTTTGGGTGATGTTTTTTAATTGGGTTTTAATAAGGCATCATATATTTTGGAAAACTGGGCATTTCTGAGAATTTCAAATGAAAGAAACTAAGAAAGTAATTAATTAAAAAAAACACTTTAGCAAAGGAAAAGGTAAAGGAAATGATTGAAAAAAACAAAAAATCACGACCTCAGGAAAGCAGCTGGACACAATAGCGTACCCTCCAAACAAACCACACTATTGTGTACCTGGATTTAATTTTCTGTGGATGATTGAATGAGGCTTTTCTTGGTGATGATTGAGATGTGGCTGGATTCAGTGCTGGATGGTGCTGGTAGCCAACCAAAAGATGACCTGCCAATTTTGGAAATTCATGGAAATTCGGCATTTTGGGAAACCATTCGCATTCCGCGATTTTTGCATTTCATTGGCGATTCTATAGTGGGATATGTTTTTTTGGATGCATCCGCAGCCATTTTCCGTCTTGCCACA